GTGAAGTCTTTTCTTTTAATTATTATTATATTATACTGAGCTTTTTCCTCTCCCCCAAAAAAATGACTTTAAAGATGTAAATGTTTTTTTTTTTTGAAAATTCAAGAAATTACCAATTATCAAATGTCAGTCATAATACAGGTTAGATAATAATAATACAGGGCTAAGATTATTACAAATAAACACAAGATTGTGACGCTTATCCAAAGGTTTGTGCGAGTGTGGAGCGCGCACTGCATGGCACGGAGGCGCGAACACTTGCGTTTTCCTATCAGCAGTGGAAACAACTTAAAATACTCTATAATTTCTGGTCATACAGAAAATAATAATACATCATTCGCAACTACTTTTATTTGTGTAAACTCACAATAACAAGAAAACGTTGTGCTTTTGTAAAATAAAATAAAACAATCAGGCGAGCTTTCATGGTCTCCGTGATCGCGTCTCAAAAATGAACTGAAACAAAATATAGCCTATGTAGGCTAAAGCTTGAAATGTCCACTTTTAAAGAACCAATTCGAATCGAAAGCAAATACCGTCTGATAATGCAATCCATATGAATTTCTCTCTAAAGGCCCATCCTTACAGCGGAGATGGAGGTATAGCCTCGTTATTTTTTCAGATTATAAATCACCTATAGCCTAAATCATCTCTCTGTATGGTTCGAGAGTAGGCTATGGCTCTTTTCATTCAGCACTGCGGGAAAAATATCATTTCCTGGTTTGGCCTTAGTTAGAAAACCAGTAAAATCAATTTTTTTGCATATTAATTTGTGAATATTTTAAATGTTTAATAAAGGGGCAAAAAGTCACATACAAAAATCGGAAAATACTTCAACATTTATTTTTTTGCGTAGCATTTGGTGTATAGGCTACAGTTCAAATTCCAATTTTGGTGTTCAACTTTGCGTTTTAAAAATAGGGCCTACAACAACCATTTTTCGTTTTTCAATTACGGGTTAAAAAGGGGAAAACGAATGCACGCAAAAGTACACGGACCATGGGTAATTTTGAAGCTTGTTAATGATTTCACTGTGTTTAAACGAGAAACAAGCCAAAACAAATTTGGGCGTTTTTTTGTGCATTCTCGCAGTTTTTGGCGAGGTTTTGTGATGGAAAACCTTGGCATCTGGCAACCCTGCTGGAGTGGGCGGGGACTCTAACCACCTTCCGTTTCAACTGAAATGCTTTCATACAACATACTGAAATGCTTGCATACAACATACTGAAATGCTTGCATATAACATACTGAAATGATTTTCAGTTGTGTGAGTGAGAGCGTTTCAGTTATGTTTGTAAAAGCATTTTACTTGTATGTGTGTGAGCATTTCACTTGTGTGTGTGAGAGCATTTCACTTGTATGTGTGTGAGCATTTCAGTTGTGTGTGTGTGAGCGTTTCAGTTGTGTGTGTGAGCGTAATATTTTCAGTTGTATGTATGTGAGCGTTTCAGTTGTGTTTGTAAAAGCATTTCACTTGTATGTGTGTGAGCATTTCAGTTGTGTGTGTGTGAGCGTAATATTTTCAGTTGTATGTATGAGAGCGTTTCAGTTGTGTTTGTAAAAGCATTTCACTTGTATGTGTGTGAGCATTTCAGTTGTGTGTGTGTGTGTTTCAGTTATGTGTGTGAGCATAATATTTTCAGTTGTATGTATGAGAGCATTTCAGTTGTGTGTGTGTGAGCGTTTCAGTTGTGTGTGTGAGCGTAACATGTTCAGTTGTATGTATGAGAGCGTTTCAGTTGTGTTTGTAAAAGCATTTCACTTGTATGTGTGTGAGCATTTCATTATAGTATGTGAATGAATTTGGTTTTATATGTGTATGTGAGAGGAAAAGTACATGTATATGCAAGGTAATTCTGAATAATGTCCCTAGGGGCACCTCATATTTTTGTGTCTGATATTCTCATATGCTTTAAAGTTTCCTTATCAAGAGTAGCCTATAATTTCTCTTAATTTGAAGCAAGGCTTAATCGATAATATGAACACAAGATTGTGAGCTAGATAAATAATCAGCAGTGATTCGTAGCGTTGTCAAACTTGTTGAGGTCAGAACTTAACAAGTGTCTGCATGTTTCGGGAAGGCGTATGCTTTCCAGTGAAGTCTTCAGAATCAGTTCTCTTATTGATCTGTTGACCACATTAAAAAACAGCTGAAAGAGCGAAAATCTATCAGCGCTCAACCTTACGACATCAGGAGGATGTCAACATAAGGCCTTGGTTTGTCAAGATGAGACTGACTGTTATATTCAGACGCATGTCTGTCGGACAGAGCACTGCTCAGCGGTGTGTGTTTTTGAGCATGCTGATGCCAGGAAATCACAAGATCTGTCTGTGTGGCAGCAGGCTTAATTGAACATAAGTAAAGGCAGTCAGTCAGTGAATAAGTCTCTGTAATATGGATCATTTGCAGCCTGATGCTTTTATTAGAGCTTGGCTGTCACAAGCTTGTAACGTTTGCTGTCATGCGCTGTTTGTTTTCATGACTCGGCATTAGCGTTGAGTTCAGAAGAACAGCAGCGGGGTGGATGTCCCAGCCATCTGTCCCAGAGGAACTGTTCTAAATCTGCCAAATGCAATGTGATTAATTCAATACGTTGAATTTAATGCAGTTAAATCATTGATCTAATCTGGCCTTTTAACTGTTTCATTCTGTTCTGTGTGAATAATTGCGCCAGTAACAATTGCAGAAGTTTGAACAAACCCCGAACACTGACTATGTGCAAAAGAGACCGCCTACTTTTTCAGCAGTCTTGGTTTCTGAAGTATGTTGCCCATACATATAAAAGCGTATACGTATAAAAGCCTTAATTTAAGAGTTATAAGCCATAAACCAGACCAACCAGCAACGAGGCAAATAAACATTATAAACTATTTGAAACAAAAAGACAAGGTACAGAAATATATACCGTACTTAACAGCTTTAATGAGGGAAAGAATAAAATAATGATATGTTTATTGCAAAATATGCACATATTTAAGTTTGAGAACATAGGGAGACTATTACATTATTTGCAGTCCAATGGGAGTGGATGGGCGCTAAAGTGTTTTTTGGCGCTAATTGCTGGTCACGATTCTCTGATTGGTGGAGATTTCTTTGAAGAATCAAGGGTAATGTAGTTTGGGTTTTTTTTAAAACAGGAATTCTGCTGTTAAACAATTATTTCAAACGTGTTCCCTTTCCTTATAAAGTATTGGAATTTGGAAGTGAATTGGTGTCAAAGATGATATGCTTATAACTAACCTCACCTTGAGCTGGCTTGGCACAGAGTTTGGTTTGTTATGAAACGCAGCGTGTGACTTTCTCTCCCCCCATCACCCTTATATGCTGTATTTATTTTCCATTGGAAAAGTCAGAGTCCTGCTGTCACGGTTAACATAACTTTGGTTCTGACATTAATTCACACTGGACCGCCAATGTGTGTGTATTTTGTTGCTTTAGTGGATTCCTTGCATCCTTTGAACAATATATTAGCAAATGACCAGCAGAATAAATATATATATCAAATAATATTTGTTAAACTCACTCACCTAGGCTATGGGTGCCAATCAGTTCAAATTAACTCCACTTTATTGCATATTTAAAGCAGTATTATTTTAGTAAGATACTATTATAGTTATTCATATTTTGAATAATTATTTTTCAGTTTATGTTTAAGGTTTTAGTGAGTTTGTTGTGCTTTTTTGTTGTTTATATTAGTTACTATTGTGTTAAATGTCTACAGTTTTTATTCATTTTATTTCAATTTGATTTCAATATTTTATTTTAGCCAGCTGAAAAAATAAAAATGAAAGGTTTTATATGCATTTTATTTTAGTTAACCTTTATTTTATTTCAAGTAACGAAAATGTTTAATGTTTTAGTTTTAACTATAATAACCCTGATCTAATGTAACCTATTTCTGTAAAATCTTAGTCCAATGATGAAGTAAAGTGATGAACTAAACGTGACAAGTTATCAAATTATGGAATAGTCCACACAAAAATGAATTTATTTTCTCACCCTCACCATGTTGTTTCAAACCTGTATTATCTGTAAACTACTTTTATAATACTTTTATTTTTGTTTGAGGAAAAAAAAATGGAAAAAGCTGTGCATATATTCATCAAAAATCGTCCAATTGTGTTCCACAGAAGAAAGAAAAACATTTTTAATTACTGTGAAATATTCCTTAGTATTTGAAATTACTGGCTGGCAATTTTAGACAGTGTTCCCTCAGGAAGAACTTGGTACAGTTGGTGCATTTTGCCTCAGAGAGATGGCTCGGCCTCTGTTTGTCCATTGTCAAGCGGTTTAGTGGCTGATCTCACTGTAGGAGGAATATAGATGTGTCTGTGTTGAGCCAGCGGTAGCATGCCAGAGCACAGCATGCACAGCCTTGGAGCTCCACAGATCTCTTAATGTAGAGATGTGTTGTCAGTCAGTCACTCACAGCAAAGCTTTCATGCAGCTACATAATTCGCCAAGTTACACCTTTAGACGTCATAGACACGAGGCAGATTTATGATATTGAGCTGTGACTGTGTTCTATTAATGCATTCTCTCTAACGTTACAGAACCAGTCTTTCCTGTAAGATACTTTGCAAAACTCAGATGAAACTTTCAAATGAAAGCAAGAGCCAGATTCATTGTTTACAATTATTTCAGCCTTTTTGATCTTTAAATGTGTTCAGATAATTAGGCATAATTCTTAATGAATTCTAAATTCTATATGCCAGTTCTTAAAGGCTTAGTTAACCCCCCAAAAGAACTCTTGTGTTGTTCAAAATTTCTATGAATTTCTCTCTTTTGTAAAACATGACAGATGTCAGGCAGGATGACACTCATCACTCAAGTTGATGTTGACTATTTTTCCTTTGTTTTTCCATAACTATCTCTTTAAAGACCCCAGGTGATCAGTATTAGAGCTTTTTGTCGATTTCTGTTAGCTTTGGGTCATCATCTATATGCAAGTATACCCCTGAAAGTTATTCATAACGCTCTTCCTCTTGTCTCCTAACAGGTGGAGTTTCAGGATGCAGCAGTACTGAGGATGCTGATTGTCTTAGTTTTGCTCATGATGGCTGTGAGCAGTGAAGCTGAGGTCTGCACAGGCCAGCACAACTGCTCCAGCTCCAACAGCTCCAAGGACTACTGCTATACGGGCCGGATCCGCACCACCGTACTCCAGGGCCTGCCCTTCGGAGGAGTGCCCACCGTACTCGCCCTTGACTTCATGTGTTTCTTGGTGCGTATCACAAGCCTACAATTTTCCATTTCTGTTCATTTGCCATGAGTTTGTCATTTAAAGTCACCATGAAATTAATCTTGACCCTGTTTACTTTCTTAATACACATTCCCGGTCTTGTTGCGCACTATTTTGGAAATGCATGTTATAGATTTTATTGTAAACTCAATCTTCCGGTGAAAGGTGTGTGCCGGAATTCTCCAGTCATTTTTACCACTTAAAGGCGATGTAAGATTGTTTATGTTAAAATACATTCTCTTAACCCAGTTTATTGTTCATTGACTGCTATTAGTTAGTCTCAGCCTCAGACGTCACGCCCACAGACCGTTGGCTGAACATCTGATGCGTATGGCACACTTAACTGGGAACACTTCAGGATTTTCGAAGTTGCATCTGGTTGGTTGAATTCTACAGAAACTCCGGGAGACGTTTCTTTAACGCTCCGCTTGGAAACAAAGCCTTTGTGACGCCAAAACCCCTCATGGAAGAAGAAAGCCATTGTGTTTACGACTGTGATAATAAGCGCTTACCAGTATCAACTAAAAGCTGGATTTTCACGGCTCCGCTGTTGCAGTAAACTTGCACAACGTTCTTGAATTAATTTATTAGACACATGCCGGGCTGTTATTGTAGGGAAACTTTACATTTTCACGCCCCTAAACATCACGCGGTACAAACCGAACTGTGATTGGTTGCGTTACATGTTAGTCAAACGTCCTCTTGGGCAGTCTTGGCCAATGAAAGCTGCGATAGAGTCTAGACCTTCTGCCGTCAGTCTGAATGTCTGGCTATGCAAGACTAATTATAATTATGTCAATCATAGGTGCACTTCACCTTTAAATGCCACCTCTCCACAATCAGAAAACAATATTGCATTCATTTTTAAAAGCAATGCCCACATCTCAAATTCCAAATTCCAATCAACAACTGATGGATAGAACTAAGCCCTACATTTTTCGATAATCCATTACACTCGAATGTACAGTATGTCTTTGCATGTTCCATTTCATCCATCATTTAATGTTGACTCGTGTGGTAAAGTAATAATAGCAAATAGTCATAGATTTAAAAAGATGTGTTAACTTGCATCCATAAGATGTTCTCAAGGGTGAACGTGACTTTTAGCCTCCATGTCTCAGTCAAAATGCGTCCTCATAAGTGGGTGCCAGTGGTGTTTGAAGAGGGGAGCCAACTGCAATAAATGAAGGTCATTGTTCAATTAACTGCAAATTCACAAACATGTCAGTTCTGGTATGGAACGCCTACTTTTCATTATCCAATCAATTCCCAATGGATAAAAGTAAAGTATGTAGAAGTAAAATGGGTTATGAAAGCCATTTTCTTGTTCACTTTAATAAAAGTGACTGGGAATGTGTAAAAATGCTTTGAATTCTGTGGAAGTCTGCCGAGTTTTCTGTGGAATTCTGTGGGCCTTTATAATCCACACTACAGTTATATTTCTGATCATCTTGGGTCTTAGAATAATTCTGTGATGTTCTAGTTTTGCTGTGGTTCTAAATTTATGCACTTTAGGAATGTGTTTCTTAATTGTGTTTAATTAGCATTTTGGTATTTGTCACATATTTGCGGCATTGTGAACAGGAATTTGATTTGCAATGCATTTGTGGAATGAGATGTGAATTTGATTGTATAACATGTGTGTTCTGGGTCTCCAGGTGCTGCTATGTGTGTTCTCTCTCTTGAGGAAGGTGGCGTGGGATTATGGCCGTCTCGCATTGGTCTCTGATGCCGACAGGTAAAAACTATTATATTCCATACAGTAGCTTTTTGTAGTACACAATATTAGACAAAAATAAATGTAGCCCTGATTCTTTCAAATGTTCTGATGTCATTTTCATTGTAGTACAATTTAAAAAAAACTGTAAAACCATCAAGACAGCACGTGTACGGTCCTATTCCAGCGACTCATACTGCGGCCTCAGCTGGCTGCGTTCACAGCATGCTCTTGGCCCCAATCTAACCCCAAATAAACACTCATCTTTCCAACATTGAGTAACATTTTTTGCCAGACTAAATATATACAGCTGGACACTCGATTCATCAATCATGATGTAGACCTTTGATTTATCCAAATAGAAGAGAAAATGCCTCCTGCAGGAATGCATTGAATGCTGTAAGACAACAGCATGCTCCCGGCTCCTGCATAATGGGTTTAGCCAATGGATTGGTTGTTCAGACAGCTCAGCTAGTCTTATTCTATTAGTAATATGACCCTGCCTTTCAATCACACTCGCATCCAGAGATTTGGAAACTGGTTTGAGCAGCATGCAAGTGCATAAGAGATTGTGTTTATGGGAGATCAGATTATATTCCGGGCATCTCAAATTTTTGTCCAGTCAGATACCATAGTCACATTTTACTACTCTGATGTCAGAACCTTCTCTCCATGTACTTAGCACATTCTTTTTAACAAAGTCATGATTCAGCTTGAGTCAGATCCATTTACTGTAATTTTTTTAAGGAAGTGTCAACCCTTAAATAAATGGATTGGTTTATTTTGTGTGTACCTACCCAGCATTCATTGATCTATTTTGGACATTTGGTTCCATAAACATTTCCCTGAATTGCAACACCTACATTATAACTTTACAGTCATCAATTTAAATGTTATAAATGTTGCTTGGGGTCAAGTGGAATCCTGAAAAGCCAGATCATGAAGCTGAATGCATGTTACAACTTGGCTATGCATTACATTTTTAATAAATAATCCAACAGTAAATTATTTATATCATGGTGAGGTGACCACAAGTACATTTGTTTGTCCCAAGACATTTTTCCAGTTTCCCTTTGTCACAGATTTAGTATCTTGCAATGCTTACAAACAGGTCAAGCCACCATTACTAGTTTGAAAGTGCCCTGTGGTGAAGTGATGTGGAACTGTAAAGCTGACAACAAAAACTGCAGTTATCTCAAGGAAAATGCAATCCAATCAGAATCAAGGATTAAACAATTTTGTGGTATTTTTAATATAGTTTGCTTAAATACTTTTTTTTTAGAATGGTTTTATTCATATATATTTATTTTATTTTACTTTATTTTATAATAAAAAAGATGTTTCATGACATCTAAAACCAATAATGCGAAATTCCTCAAAGATTTGATCTGATTTCATGTAATAACTTGCATCACAGAGTCAAAAGAAAAGTTGAATTATTAGTGTCATTGCATCTCAGCTGAGTAATAGAATCCTCTTCCTCTGAATGAATGATCTTATATTTTGACGAGTTTCTGTCAAGCATGAACTTGAATAATTCTTTTCCCTCATCAGTAGGCGGAATCAGCACTATCAACGTCTGGACGAGGAATAGTATGTGTTGTTTTTACACTTCAGCTCTCTCTTCCAAGGACACCTTGTGTCTGCTTTTTGAATTTGCTCTCTGGCATTTCTTCTGCTGTGTCTATCGGGTGGATTTGGGGTGAATTTGTTCACTGTGTGTATCTGTTTCCTAATAACTCTTTTCACTTCTTTCTCTTGTCCTTTTTAATTTGCTTCTTTCCTAGAGTCCATTGGTTGAGGGTTTCTCAAGATAATCATCACATTTACCTGACCTAATCAATATGTGTCTCTTGTGGATTTGTGTCTTTTAAAGGTGAAGTGTGTAATTTCCGTGCCACTCGCATCACCAAATGAAACTGCAAAAATAATTGTTTCCAAACATATTCCTAAACTCTCCTACTACATTTTCTCATCTCTGTCTTCCATTGTTCTGCTAAACAGGTAGTCCCTTTTCAAACTCACAGAAGTAGTTTACATAACAGACTGCTCAAAAAAACAGAGCAATGTTCTGTAAGCCCCACAGTCTTGAACTTATAGGAAGCCAAACTGATGGTTTACTTATAGTTTCTCTTTGTAAAGTTTTAAAAACTACACACTTCACCATTAAATGATATGTTTTCGTTCTTGTAAGCGTGTGCATTCTGGCCAGGGTCTTTGCACCCTATAGGTCCCACAGGGAAGAGGATTACAGGGAGAGGTAAAAAAAAATCCTGTGATGTCATAGAAAACCCCTGTGTGACTGGAAGACCTTGTTTTGATGAATACCTGTGATTTGTCCGGTTGTTTGATTGTTTTGGTCATTGACAAGCAATAAGGATTGATACTTATTAGAAGGGCCCTATAGAAGTTGTCCTATAGAATCAGTCCAAATGTTTGTGGATATTGTAGCCAGAGAATGACATACACTGGCCCCAAAAACTATTTTGATATTTAAGACACACTTGCATAATGAATTAGATTGAAAATTATCAAGCAGAATGCCATTTGTCAGTTTTATTTTAAAGACAGGCAGCTAAATACGTTTGCAGCTTTCTAGGATATTTTATTTAATGCACTGATGTTCATACTTATGAATTGTGGCTTTTGGAGGTCATTGTATCTGTGTGTCTTTGTGTATCTCTGTTTAACACACTCTGCCTCAAATCAAATGTATGCTCCTCTCTGCATGTTCATCTCCTTTCTAGGTTTACTGCAGTCTCTATGTGAACAATCTGTGTGTAATGCCCCTGAGCCTCTGATGCTAATTCTGTGTTTGCGTTTGTATGTGCAGTCACTTATTGCTGCATGCCCAACATGTGGTTAGCTTTGATATGCACTAATGGAGCTGGGGTAATGTGAGCCTGGAAGGCCTAGCTGTGCCCATCACTTAAAATCCGCCTGCAGTCAATCATTTTATCCCTTAAAACTAATCTTTGATAATCACAATGACATGTTTAAACGTTTTTTTCCTGTGAAAATAATTGCTTTAAAATAGCTTAAGTAAAACTATACCCTTGCTTTTAGTATATGTGGGGCCATGAATGTGCAAATTAGTCCCTGCCTACACTCAATCGCACCAGCTTGAACTACATGATCCACTCGGTCAACTATAGTAAACGCTACACAATGGCAAGACTGATTCAGAAGAAAAGTAAGAGTGAATTATACAGACAGGCCCGGTTCTACTGGGGCGCTTGAGGGTGCTAAAGCATATTAAAAACACCACATCGAAATATAAACAGCATTTAAAAAATGATCACTACTGGCGGTATGTAAAGATTATTAAAGGAATAGTCGTTTATTCACCCTTTACTCTTTTTCCATGCCAGACAATAATTTGGGCTAAGACGAGACATAGAAAAATGTGGATATTTAGTACATACTACTTACCTGCATACATACAGTATACTTGCATAAAGCAATATATACTTTATAGTAAATTTGACCAGTGTGATTGTTTATATCGTCACGAAATGTAAAGTGTATATAAAGTTAGATAATATAATATATAATCCACTTTTATCCGTTGTATGCATTTTTATCTGCATACATATACAGTACACTCTCATAAAGCGATATGTAATATATATAGCAAATCTCAACTGTGTGATTTTATTTATTTTGTTGCAAAATGTAACTATATTATCATCCAACTCTTTAGATAAAGTTGCATATACAAGCATGTCCAACTGTATCCCCATGCATATAGTATACTTAAGTGTGTCTGTGTGTATATATATATATATATATATATTATATATATATATATATATATATATATATATATACACACACACTGTATATATAGAGCACAACTCAACTGCTTGATTGCTTGTATCATCGCAAAATGTAAACTATATAATCGCCCAGCTCTAATTTGCTAAATGTGACTATAAGGCATGAAGATATAAAGATACTATAAACATTAACATCATGATTTTCTGTAAAGCTATTTTGAAACCATGTGTATTGTGAATATACAGAATATACTATACAGATACATTTATCTTGACTTGACTGTCAAAAATTATTAATGAATTAGCTTGTTATTTGCTGGAAATAATAGTTCTCAAATCTTATGTGTAGAAATCTTGTTCGTTTGTATTGATTCATTTTAAATAATACATCAAAGTGCGTAACACCAGGTTTGTCTCATCATTAACTGTGACAATCCTCATACTTTTATTTTTTAAATTAACTGAGAAATGAGAACTGCAGCGGAGAGGAAGAGTTTTGGGTTGAACTAGTCCTTTAACATGATCATAACGCTTTATATTACAGATCTTCCATTATCAACATCAATCTAATCATCATTGTAATAACTGCTGAATGAAGTGGCATGCCATTAAGTGACTGTACACTTGTATGTTAGCTTGAGTTCAGTGCTCAGAGAGGGCATGTGTTTGATAATGTGTGTTTGTGTTCAGTGTGGCCTCCGCCATGCAGACGCCTGCCGACTCCCGATACGAGCGTCTCACCTCTGTGTCCAGCTCGGTCGACTTTGACCAAAGGGACAACGTAAGTAGCTTGTAATGTCATTTTTGTAGATGCTTATGGCTATGTGCAGAATGGAATACTAGCTAGCATACTGCACAGTATACACTGTATAGACAGTATACATTGTGTAGACCAGCCCTTTTTCAGCGCTGCACATGTGTTCTGTCTTCCGGTTTGTATTTCCATCTTACGGATTTATGAACGAAGTGCTATGCGATATTCTATGCACATTAATAAATAATATAATTATTCAGTATAAATATGCATTCCATTCACACTAAGTGATAACTACAACCCCATTTCCAGAAAAGTTGGGACATTTTGTAAAATCTAATAAAACTCACAATCTGTGATTTGTTAATTCTCTTGAACCTTTTTTTACCTGACAAAAGTACAAAGAAAAGTTTTCCAATGTCTTCACTGACCAACATAATTGTATTTTGTAAATATAAACACAGAGACTACAAGTTAACTCAACTCTTGTTCTATGGATAAAGGACTTTTTAAAAGATAGACGCCAACATGTCAGAATGTATGGTGGTTTTAAAACTAATAGTATTATTGTAAATACGGAGATTCCTCAGGGCTGCGTGTTATCACAAAGTTCTCTACGAATGAGTTGTGTTGTGGGAGGTTTCGTTCATCAAATACCTTACATTCACTATCTGAACCACTTAGGCTGTGGAACAAGTGGAACAAGTTGAGACCTTCACATATTTGGGCACTGAGATTGACAGACATCTATCCTTTACTCAGCATGTGAATAGCATCTATAAGAAGGCTCAACAGCGCTTATTTCTTTTGACAAGGTTGAAGTGTTTTAATGTAAGACAGAATATCTTGACAGCAGTGTATCATTATCTTTTTTAATCAGTTATCGCCTTTAATATTGCATCCTGGTTTAATTTTCTTTCTGCTGAAAACAAGAAAACAAGAAAAAAATATCCAGAGTAATCAAACAGGCATCTAAAATTATTGGGGCTGCGCAGATTCAACTTATAGATCTCTATAGCCCCTTTCACACAGCGCTTTGGACCCAGCAAATTGCCAGAGTGCCTTCTGTGGGAACGCAAACACGACCCGGGATCGATGCCGGGTTGGGGACCTAGTAACTTTGCCGTGTTCAGACCCGGAACGTGCGCTGTGTGAACAAGAGCCAGAACCAATGCCGTATAAGGGGTGTGTCGTAGTGATGATTCACGAGCCTTTGCAATGACGTATAGTTATCGTGCGGCTCAGTTACTCTAGAAGAAAGTTTGTGTTCGTCATCGATACAAGAAAGAACGAAACAATGTCTGCAAACTGGACTGAAGTAGAGACCCGTCACATCCAACGTCACGTGTCTTTCCGGAACATACACGGGTTGTGTGTGAACGCGCTCTCTGATTCCGGCATATCACTGGCAGTGTGAATGAAGCAAAATCAAACGAACCCGGGTCAAATCCCGGGTCACTTTATCCGTGTATTTTCCGGAATCTCTGTGTGAAAGGGCTGGGCTTATAACTGTGCAGTAAAGAGGAAAGCAGTCTCCATCGTTTCTGACCCCTCTCATCCTCTGTACCACTCTTTTCAGTTACTGCCATCAGGCTGTCGCTTTAGAGCTCCTTTGGCCAAAAAGAAAGCTTACAGGAACTCTTTTATTCCTACTCCAATTGCTATTTTTAAATAAGACCAAATAGTTTTAGTAGTATATTGTATTTAAGCCTTTGTTTATTTATTTACATATTTGTAAGGTACTTTTCTTTGGATTAATTGTGTTTTGTGATGTGTGTGATTGTAGATATGTGAGCCTTTTAACCTAAGACAAATTTCTATCACTGGTTGATAGATAATAAAGTTATTTGAATTTTTATATTGATGGATGCAACACAGAACACACTACAAAAAAGTTTGGACAGAGGCAAAATAAAAGTGAAAAGATTATAAAGGTTAGATTATGCAACTCTTTTGAAACGGTCCACAATGAGTAGGTGAATTGGTAATAGGTGATGGTATCATGTTTGGGTGAAAAAGGAGCTTCTCAGTCTTTGCAAGCAAAGATAGGTCATGGCTCACCACTTTGTGCCAAATATCATGAGAGAATTGTCAAACCATTCAAAAATCACATTTCTCAATGCAAGATTGCAAAGAATTTATGTCTTTCACCATCTACCACACATAATATTGTGAAAAGATTCAGGGAAACCAGAGAATTCTCAGTCTGTGTAGGGCAAGGCAGGAGACCTCCGTTGAATGTGTCTGACCCTTGAGCCCTCAGACGGCATCGCATGAGAAACCATCATGCTGCTCTGTTAAATACAGCCACATGTGCTCAGGAGTACTTTAGAAAAGCATTTTCACTGAACACAGTCTGACGCTGCATAAAGAAATGCCATTTGAATCTCTGTTACGCAAGGAGAAAGCTTTACATCGGAGACTATGTGGAGATGCCGGCGAGTTCTCTGGGCCCGAGCTCATCTCAGATGGTCTAGAAGACAGTGAAAGTGTGTGTCAGATGAGTCCATGTTTCAGCTTGTTTTTGGGAAAAACAGACATCTCAGTCCCAAAGACGAAAGGGACCAACCAGACTTCCATCAGTGACAGGTGCAAAAGCAAACATCTGTCCTGGTATTGGGGTGTATCAGTGCAAGCGATATGGGTGACTTGCATTTGTGTGAAGGTATCACTGACATGAAGGCATATATTTGGCTTGAAGGCATATATATTGTACAGAGACATAAACTGCTATCAAGATGACATCTTTCCTGGGAAGCAAGACAATGCCAGGCCTCATTCTGTACATGCTAAATGAGTGGTTTCTAGACTCTGCACCATAGAAGGGATGTGCCTGAATTGTCTGCCTGCAGTCCAGATCTGTCTCTTATTGAAAATGTATGACCCATCATGAAAAGCAGAAATCAGACAACGACGACCATGGACTGTTGAGCAGCTGTCTTGTATCAGAAAAGATTGGCCAAATATTCCACTTGCAAAACTGCAACAATTAGTATCCTCAATTCCTAAATGATTAAAAAGTGTAATTAAAAGGAAAGGTGGTGTGAGACAGTGGTAAACATGCCTCTGTCCCACCTTTTGTGGAGTGTGTTGCAGCCATCAAAAATCAAAACTTGTTTTATTTACATAATAAAATTTAAGTTGGTCAGTGAAAACACTGGAAATATTTTCTTTGTACATTTGTCAGTTAAATGAAGTTTCAAGAGATTTAACAAATCACAGATTCTTGATTTTATTGCATTTTACAAAATGTCCCAACTATTCTGGAAATGGGGGTTGTATAACGATGACTACATTAGCGGCTGTCCTCCAATGAACAATAATGTTCTGTTTATTACAAGTGTACACTGCAGTTATTGCGTCTGCCACTTTAAATGCTTGAGTTCTTTAAAGTTGGGTGAATTCTGATTGGCTCAGATGGTCAATATTTTTCGTTCATCAGCTATAAAAAGACGTTCTGAAAGCGATTTCAATAATATTGTTCCTATGTGTCTTTATCAGGGTTAGTATCGTTAAAGGGATACTCCACTTTTTTTAGAAATAGGCTCATTTTACAACTCCCCCGGAGTTAAACTGTTGAGTTTTACCGTTTTTGAATCCATTCAGCCGATCTCTGGTTCTGGCGGTACCACTTTTAGCATAGCTTAGCATACATCATTGAAGTGGACAAGACCATTAGCATTTCTCAAAAAAAAATGATTCAGGCAGCGCCTGAAAATAGGCCACCTTCAGTCAACACAACGGAACTATTTTCAGGCGCTGCGTCATATCATTACGCCTGCTGCTCTCATGGTACGGCAGTGAAGTTTCTTGATTATTACGCAGGAATGAGAGTATAGTTCCTAGCCATATCAGCCTAGAAAATCCCAACTTTACATTTTCCGTCGGTCTTAGTGCACGATGTAACTACAGAAGAGTCAAGTTTTAAATAGGAAAAATATCGAAACTCTTTGGTCTTTTTTTTTTGAGAAATGCTAATGGTCTTGTCCACTTCAACGATGTATGCTAAGCTATGCTAAAAGTGGTACCGCCAGAACCGGAGATCGGCTGAATGGATTCAAAAACGGTAAAACTCAACAGTTTAACTCTGGGGGAGTTTTAAAATGAGCCTATTTCTAAAAAAAGTGGAGTATCCCTTTAACTACAACTATAGTTAAAGCTAAAAATAAAAGCAAAAAAATAAACATTATTGTTACTTATAAATAAAATACGATTTTATGTGCAATGGTTTTTTATGAAGGTCAAAGTAGCACATGACATTCTGAGAGGTGCAAGCCCTGGCATGAGTCATTTGAAAGGGTTCACTCTCGAAAATATGATCATCCGGGTTTCTGTGCAAAATTTGCATACTGTTCACAGTTCACTGTTAATGCACACACACCTGTGGGTTTCATAATGGCGCACACATGCCTTTTGACAGCCATTTGTTTGCCTCTCCCTTCCCTGCTGTGATCTGGAATAACTGCACTTATGTAAACTGGTGTCACGTGCACCCAGTCAGCCTCTAACAACTCCTGAAAATGCATTGGAGACATTGTCAATGTCTCTGAATGTTGAGGTGATTGACAGACAATAGTTAGAGAGAGTGCATTGAATTTTATGCTCTTTATTTTTGTAGGGTCTCTGTTCCTGGCTAACTGCCATCTTCAGGATAAAGTGAGTCCTTTCTGCTTCTACTTTATGAACATACTGTATTTCTGTTTATTTCAACATAGTGTAACTTTGAAATATAAAGACTTACTAACTATAGGAACTATTCTGCAAAAACTATCCAAAATGGTGTGATTTTTTTTATCACAAAACTCCAGCAGTGTCTATGGTCCTTTTCAAATTAGAAGTAGAGGAAATTAAGTAGGAACGATACACCAGAAAAAGATTAGTCCAATTATTCCAGTTATAACAAGTATATAACAAGATAAGCCAAAATTATATTCTATTCACTGTTATGCACTGTAATGTCAAATACTTTAATGTAATGCAAATATTTCATTTATATAGTGCTATTTTGTTTATATTGTGAACTAAATATTGTGCTTGTTTACTAAAAATAATATGAATAAATTATAGATTGTATTATTATTCTTTTATAGTTAATCATTTAATTATCAGTACAATTATGAATACAAATCTTAATGGTATACTAACACATCTCTCTCACCCCTTCCAGAGATGACGAGATCAGGGAGAAGTGTGGCGAGGATGCCGTCCACTACCTCTCATTCCAACGGCACATCATTGGTCTGTTGGTGGTGGTGGGCGTGCTCTCTGTGGGCATTGTCCTGCCCGTTAACTTCTCAGGAGACCTATTAGGTGAGTCAGGAAAGTTAAGAGTGAGTCATCTAGGATTATATGTCTGAATGCAGCCATTCGAGTTTCTCTTCCTTTAGTGTATGTGACCGAAGACTCCCTTTGACCCGTTTCTTGTCTTTTCTTTCTGCAGAAAATAATGCCTACAGTTTTGGGCGAACTACAATAGCCAACTTATATTCTGAGTAAGCGCGGGTATTGTCTGTGACACTTACTTGACCTTTGAAAGATTGTTGATGAATGCATCAGCTCTGTTTTTCTCTCTCTTTCAGTAATAACCTGCTATGGTTGCACACTACATTTGCCTGCTTATATCTGTTACTGACTGTGTACAGCATGAGGAGACACACATCAAAGATGCACTACAAAGAGGATGACTTGGTGAGCAGAGACAACTTATCCAAAACACTTCAAAGAAATGGTCTGGGTTCTATTTACAGCCAGGGTTATTAAAGTTAATATACAACAACATTTTCATTACTTGAAATGAGGTAAATGTTAACTAAAATAAAAATTATTTAAAAAACATTTATTTTATTTCAGCTAGTTGGCAAGGCAACATTTCTCATTTTCATTTAGTTTAACTTGATCTACTCAAATAAACATAAAAAAACTATTCAAAATATAAATAGTAAATTATAGTCTACACAACATATTTAGCAATAGTGTCCTGTACCACATAAAATAATTGTAACATAACTTATAAGCGTCACATTTCTGCTTTTAAACCCTGGCCAATTTTAACGTTTTAATTCAGTTGTAAGTATCTTTCACTTACAGTAACAACTATTTTAATTGAGCCAGGAACATTTCTTTATTTTCAGATTTTATTTTGCCATAAACCCACATTACTCAAATATTTCACTTTCCCTGAGAGAGAGTTATGAGCCAAAGTCAGGGTAAACAGCCCATAGCCACCCACTTTTCTTATGTAATCTGGCACATTTTTTGAAACGGGATATTCAACCTGAAAATAATGAAGGGTGGGACTTGGTTTTATCCATTAGGAATTTAAAAAATGTAAAAAAAGGAGTTTCAGAGGCATATTATGTTTTGATTAAAAATGACATGAATGATGAAAATACATGATGAAAACATTTATAATGTGCACAGATGAATCTTTAAAGAATGTAAACTTGGTTGGTCATTTCATGTTGATTTTTAACAAAGTGAACAGATATGATAAGAACAGATAAATATGTCCCTTCACAGACTCGTTGTCCTTTGTATCAAATTAAATATGTATATCCTAACTAAGGTCCATAGTTTAGTGCTGCATGAAAAAAATTGCTCTCTTAATGGAGATCAGCATAGAGCATCAATCAATATTATGGTTGAAATAATATTTCTAATGCTAACAAACTGTACTCTGATGTCTCCACATTGTCTCCTTTCACAGGTGAAACGCACTTTATTCATTAATGGGATCGCAAAATATGCAGAAGAGAGTGAAATAAAGCAGCATTTTGAGTAAGTTCTTGCTGAAAACACAAATTTTATGTCTCAATACTAATTAGGATCCTTCTCATCATCAGTAAAGATGAAGTGTGTAATTATAATTCGTTACATTTATATAGCGCTTTTCTAGGTACTCAAAGCACGTTACATATGGGTAAATCTCAAATTTATGCACTTGTATGACTTCTGTAGAAACAAGAGAAGATATTTTGAAGAGTTTTTTCACCCTTACAATGAAATTCAATGGGGTCCAATGTTGTTTGGACCTTTTGCTGGATCTTCTTGTGTTCTCTTTTGGACTTGAGGATTTTAATTTTGGTGTGAACTATCCCAAACCACACAGTAAATTCAAGCACACTAAGATGCCTAGGCTTATCCTGAGACATGCTTATCCAAAATGACAACCTTAACTGTTTTAATTGGTCGAAAGTGGTCATGTGGCTACAAGACGTTCAGTGTGTCCATCCACTCAGTTTATCTAATCTCATTTACTGCTGAAGAATGTGTCAGGACAATACATGTCTTTTTCAACTTCTATGTCAAGGATTTCTGGGAAAACACAGATGGGGTCCAGACCGATTGAGAAAGAGAGATATAGAAGGCAGGATGGAGGATAAATAGGATGTGTAGAACAAACACAAAATAAAGTAGACCTGATACCTAAGCCTTAGTCTCACAGGCATCTCAAAGCATATTGCAATCTGCCTTACTGCAGCCAACTGGGGAAAAAATCATCAGCCCTGTAGACTCCCATAGACCTATTACTTAAGAACTGATAGAAATTTTGACTTCATAGTGTACAAATTTACCACTCCTGTCTTCAGCATGTACATCGTCTCACAGAGACTGCTGTGTCATTATTTGAAAAGCCTACCAATTTGTTGCATGCCAGTCTTTTATTTTGGTATAATTGATTTTAGATTTACTCGCCTCTGTGCATCACATAAAAAAGCAGTGGCTTCATTTTACTTGGTGGTCATTCGCTTTCTGTCTAAGTGAGCAATTCTTGGCTAGCATAAACTACAGTGAGCGCCAGACAATAGTGAAGTCTGGCTCCTGCAAGACTATCAACATTGTGTTCCAGTGCCACGTTAAATGAGAAAGTTGGAATTAGTAGAAATACTTTCTGTCCCACTCATGTGATTTTCTTTATGCCTCTTACACATTCTCACTTTTTTAATCTTTTTTATCTCTTTGTTTTAATATCCAGGAAAGCATATGATAACTGCATAGTTCTGGATGCTCGCATTTGTTACGATGTTGCCAAGCTTATGTCTCTGGAGTCTGAAAGGTAAAGAAATTTACAAGCTGAGTTGAGACAAGTTTCAGTCACCATTTTAAGTATTGTACACAAGGAACTTTATATAAATAAGGTGCTGATTTGTGTCCATTCCTTTTTTATATATATATATAAATAAAATAAAGTTAGCATTAAACTTACATGGCATTGATATGTATGATAGATAGATAGATAGATAGATAGATAGATAGATAGATAGATAGATAGATAGATAGATAGATAGATAGATAGATAGATAGATAGATAGATAGATAGATAGATAGATAGATAAAAGAAAGAGCCTTGATATCTATAATATTTTTATTGTGATAAATAAAAGCATTGATATCTACTATATTTCTATTGTGAGTAATAAAAGATAGATAGATAGTAAATGACAGGTAAATTAGGCCTCTTGCCCAGTCAGGTACTTAATTTAGTTATTTATGTTTGTTTGAAATTTTTATTTTATTTGTTTACATTAACATGTTTTAATGTGAATTGCTACAGGAAAAAAGCAGAACGCAGCAAAAAGTTCTACACGGACCTGATGGCCAAGGAGCACATTCCCACTATGATTAACCCCAAACCCTGCGGCCACCTCTGCTGCTGCATCATCAATGGCTGCGAGCAGGTCAGTGTCACCCTGAGGCTCATGGGAGTTTCACATGTCACATCCATATAACCTCTCCAGTCACTCCGCCCAATGTGTTTTGAATAGTAGGGGGTATCTAGATCTCGTATTAGTACATGAACCATCATGCATTTCACTTCACATTCAAATGTAAATCATGAATGCATAACCTTTCCCCATTAGACACACAGTCAGGATGTCACAGCCGCTGTCTTGCTGCCTGTAATTCCGCTTCATTGTATTTACAGTCATATTAGTCAGGATGATGTACGCTCTGCTGCTGTGAGACATGTTCAACATCAGCGCAGGTATATTCAGCAGCTCCCAAGTGTCCTCATTAGATGAGCATACTTCCAGTTTATCACAAGAGCCATTTTTCCGTAGCACACATCCCCCCCTTCTGGACGATGACTGTAATGCCTCTTTAGCAAGTTACAGGGAGGACATTTTCCCTTCAAAGGACCTTTCCTTTTGCGCAAAATGCCATGTCAGTTGATCAAACAGGCCAGAAAATCACATTGCATTGAGAATGGGACCTGTGCCATATCTAGAGACCAGAATATCATATTTTTATTTCATGGGGACTTTACAACAAAAAGTATTTTAGTAGTGATGTCTAACTCTTGTAATGTTAATCCATCCCTGCAGGAAGAGGCTGTCTACTACTACACTAACCTTGAGGCCAAACTAAAGGAAGAATACAGAAAAGAACGTGAGAAAGTCAACACTAAACCTCTGGGAATGGCTTTTGTTACCTTCCAGAATGAAGCCATGACAGCCCTGTAAGTCTAATGGACATTTTGATATCTGTGTGTGTTGACACTAACCAAAGTACTGAAAATTGTCATGGTAGTACCATTGTATTCTTTGAGGTACCATAATATCTGTTTTTTGTTTTGTTTTTCATTTCCCAGCATCCTGAAAGATTTTAATGCGTGTCAGTGTCATGGCTGCCACTGTCGACGAGAGCCGAAGTCCTCCCCCTTCAGCAACGGGCTCAACACATTCAACTGGACAGTCACATATGCTCCAAATCCACAGAATGTTTACTGGTAACATCCTCATCTTAAATCTCATGAATTTATTATGATTGTAGTATTACATTTGCTAGACAAGATCCACTTTGGTCAGTTTCTTCCTGTGTTAATGGGCAGTTCTTGGCCAGAATAAACCGTACATTTATTTTATTTTTTACATGCAGGTAAATCTGAAATCGATGATATCATAATATTTCATTGTGGACTGGAAATTGCATAATGCATATTATTATTAATTTTATTATTACTAATATGATATTGACAAGGGCTTGTCATTTTAATATGCAATATGTAACAAGGCTATTATTGGAGGGTTTTAAGTCAAATTTATTTGTATAGCACTTTTCACAATACACATCGTTTCAAAGCAGCTTTACGAATATGATGTTAATGTTTATAATATTTTAATATCTTCATGCCCTATAGTCGCATTTAGCAGATTAGAGCTGGGCAACAATATACATTTTTACCCTTTACATTTTGCGACAATACAAGTAATCAAGCAGTTGAGAAATGCTGTATGTATTTGGACATACTTGTATAGAGCTGGCCGAGGATATAATTGCATTGTGCAACGAAATAAAAATAATCAAGGCAGCTGAGAATTGCTATATAATATACATCGCTTTTTGGGATGTTTGGGAAGTTTACATTTTTGCAACAGTCACGCAGCCGAGATTTGCGAATATATATATATATATATCAGGGTTTCCATTGTCCGGTAATTACCGCACATTGGCCGGGAAAAAAATGAAATGTCCGACAAATTGTCCGATTAAAATTGCGTAATAATCCCGCCCCCCTAACACAATATGAATTTGAGAATAAGCCTAAAATGTATAAAGCAAAAATACACCGACCTTTGGCTATGTTATAAAGGAACAGGCTCTACCGTTTGAAAGTTATTAAACAACATCGCATGCTGCATTTCAAATAAAGCGCAAGCCTAGAACGGCTGTAATATAGACCTAAACAATGAACGATTGAGTGAGACGTTTCAAATATGGCCAGGCCCAGGCAAGCTAGCCTTAAAGGAACACTCCACCGTTTTTTTTAAATTGGGGTTATTCACGGTCTCCCCTACATTTAGATAGGTGGGCAAACGCATTTTTGGAACCACAGGCGAAGCACAGGCGAAGCACTGCTACTTGGGCGCAGAGATATCACGCAACACCTGAAATAAAGCTTGACACAAATAACCGGCGAAAGTAATGATTATGCATGAAACATTTGAATTGTTGATATTTGACCAGCATATCATCAAAATGTCCGTTAAACGAAACCTCTGCCGGTCACTTTGACCGGTACCATTTTTTTTTCTAGTGGAAACTCTGAAATATATATTGCTTTACATGAATTTATTGTATGCTTGCAAGTAAAGTAGGTTGTACTCTTTATCCAACTTTTTATATACATTGCTGGGCGATAATATAGTTCACATGTTTTGACAATATCAAGTAGGTCAGATTTGCTATGTAGAAAATGCTGCTTAACGTAAGTGTACTGTATGTATCAAGGTAAGGCTGGATATACTTGCAGTAGTTGTTTAAATTGTTATATATCTTGAAAATACCTTGTACTTTGTTCTCCACAGGGAGCATTTGTCCACTGGTGGCCTCAACTGGTGGCTCCGCTGCCTTGTCATCAACTGCTTTCTCTTCATCTTGCTCTTCTTCCTCACCACCCCTGCCATCATCATCTCCACCATGGACAAGTTCAACGTCACCAAACCCGTGGAGTACCTAAATGTAAGGAGACTGTTAAACATCACAACGCAGTGTGACTAAGGGGGTCATGATTCTGTCCCTCATCAACTCCCTACTTTCCTTCTGTCTGTTCCTCCAGAACCCCATCATCACTCAGTTCTTCCCCACCCTGCTGTTGTGGTGCTTCTCGGCCCTTCTCCCCACCATCGTCTACTACTCTGCCTTCTTTGAAGCCCACTGGACACGGTACAATGACAAACCCTGTATATCAATGTCTTTTTAATGCTTTCATCATTTATAGATACTAAGCTAAATATTCTGGTGGACTCAGAGAGTATGTGACCTTTGCTCTTCAGATCTGGAGAGAACAGAACCACCATGCACAAATGCTACACCTTCCTCATATTTATGGTTCTGCTGCTGCCATCTCTGGGCCTGAGCAGGTATTTTATCATTACCTGGTTAACATTGAAAAGTTAGAACTACAGATGTTATGATGAAAAAATACAGTTATCCCATCTTTTCTGCATACGTTGTTATATATCTTTAAAGAACACTGACTGTAACAATGTTTCACAATAGCTACTGAGACCCAATTTTGGATTTCGCATGCAAGCAATTTATTGGTGAATTTATTCTTAAAAGGGGGTTAAAATAGTTTATTAAGCAACATTATCCTGAATAAACAACCTTTTGACATTGTTGATGTATGCAATTGTGCTAATTTATAATGATGTATATTTCAATTTGAAATTATAGTAATTTGACAATTCTTTTTCAAACACAAATATTGTCTTTTGTGAAGAAAAAAAAAATCTAAACTGTTTTATCCAGGTAATTTTGGACTGACCTGTTTCTCATTTGCATTAAACATTTCATTTGATCTTTTCCTAAATGCAGTTTGGATGTTTTCTTCCGCTGGCTCTTTGACAAGACATTTCTTGACCAGGCAAAAGTCCGGTTCGAGTAAGGATTTGCAGTTCTAACATCCTGTTTGATTAAAGGATTTACAAAACATTTGGTTTATGCACATACATTTTGAGATTGCAGATAGCAAAGTTTTTATGGGTTGATTTCTTTTCCTTTAGATGTGTCTTCCTTCCAGATAACGGAGCTTTCTTTGTGAACTATGTTATCGCGTCTGCTTTCATCGGTAACGCCATGGACCTGTTGCGCATTCCTTATTTTCTCATGTACATGATCCGACTGTGTCTGGCACGTTCAGCAGCCGAGAGGCGCAACGTGAAGAAGGTCTGTGTAGTTTGCAAGTGTAAACGATACTCTCAGCCTTACTATTATAATCATATGAACATGATTACTCAATATATCTCATCTATTAATGTATTTGTTCAATCCTTTGTTTTCTGAGTTCCTCTCATTATGCTCAATAACTCCTCGTATCCTAATGTTGTGATTCACGGTGGTTGCGTTTTGTTACAGCATCAAGCTTATGAGTTCCAGTTTGGAGCTGCTTATGCCTGGATGATGAACGTCTTCACTGTGGTCATGACCTACAGCATCACCTGTCCAATTATTGTACCATTTGGTGAGTGACGCATTACTCACTGAAGAAGAATTCCTGCATTGTGGTGGTGGTTTTTCCACAGGCAAACACCACTCACATCATCTTCAAACAGAGTAAAAACCTGTTTGTCTTTAATTTTGTCTGCAGGCCTGATGTATATGCTACTGAAGCACCTGGTGGACAGGTATAACATGTATTATGCCTACCTGCCCTCCAAACTGGATAAGAAAATCCACTCTGGAGCTGTCAACCAAGTGGTGGCAGCACCCATCCTCTGCCTCTTCTGGCTGCTCTTCTTCTCTACTGTCCGTACAAGTAAGACACCACCAAACAGTGGCTCTGTTCTAAACACTAATGTGCTGCCTTCCTACACAGCCTTTTTTAGGTGTCAAAAGTCCTATTTGGACAGTAGTTGTTTCTCATGGGTACATCTATAAAAATAAATTAGCATGGCACCTGTGACAACTTGTCAAACAAAAAAAAATTTTTGCAGTTGACTTTAGACCAGGTTTTAGCTGGTCAATGGCGCAGTCTATTTCAGTTGCCTCAAAATAGCAACGTGCCAACAATGCGTCTGAACACACCTCGTTGCCATTTAAACAAGGTGGCGCAGGACGTGAAAATGATAACTGTGTCGGGCTGAAACTAGCAAAAAACATTTGCGCCGCGCCTGGCGCATGATAGGGCCCAATGACTTACTCATGTAGACATTTACCGCCACCTACTGGCAGTTTAGGTTTTTATTTCATAAAAAAAAAAAAAATCCATATCCAAGGTATAGTTCACCCAAAAATTAATATTCTGTCATTTACTCACCCTCATGGCTGTTGATGCATAAAAGGTTATGTGTAATAAATTGTATGTTGAATCAAATAAAACATTCTAAAGCTACTTTTTGTACACAATACTGGCTTTAAATTATCTTTGGGGGTAATTTCTCATTTGTCTACTTAATTAGATAAAAAAGCCCAAATGTATCTATATAATTAATTAATTTAATGTATATAATATATATATATACTCACAGTATTGGAGTGGTGAATGTAATATTATTCTTGTAAACAGTTTCCAGCATTTCAGTAATAAAAGTGTCCATATTTAAAATGTGCGCACCTTACCACAAAGTGCAACAGTTACCATATCGTGCATTTCAGTGGTCAAAAAGGATTACTGTTGAAATTGGGCTTTAGAAACTATACTCCAGATTAACTGCACAAAGATTATTGTCATGTCTCTAACATGTTTTACTCCCCTGCTTTCTTCTCTCTTGCTTTTTAAATTTTAAAGGTTTTAGCGCTCCAACATCAATGTTTACTTTTGTGGTTCTGATCATCACCATCATCATTTGCCTCTGCCATGTCGTCTTCGGTCATTTCAAATACCTCAGTGCGCACAATTATAAGGTCAGAAACCACTTTATCTAATTTTTCAGTTTTCATACACAGTCTAGCCTAGAACTTTCTCTAATCAGCAAAGTGATCTTCCTGTATTCACAACAGGTTGACATGGACGGTGTGGACAATGGACGACCACCAGGTTCATCCCCACCTGTCAAGTCTGTGGTAAGTTTTCATACTCATGACAGCTGTGTCTGTCACATCATATTAAGCAAGAAGGAATTTTGCATCCCTAGTTTTTAGCTAGGCTGGGTTAAAAAAATTATTGATTTTAATCGATTCTCATTTTGATGAACCGATATTGATTCTTAAATCCCAAGAATCAATTATTTTAGTTTATGCTGTTTTCAGTTGATGAATGAACAAAACTTTGTAGCACCTCCTATCCAATAAATCGCAAAAAGCTATGTGCTTTGTTAGTTTTGATATAAAAGAAAGTCTCTGCTTTCAAATTCTGTTTAAAAAAAATAAACAATAAATATTGCTTTGGCACACTTTAAGGTGGTGTGACAAAATACTTTAGACGCCTCAATTCGAGCGGCACTTGAACTGATTATCTCTTCTGCTTTACTACTAGTTAAAGCTCAAAATAAGCATGAATGAACATCTGAAGGTATGTTGAAAGATACAGTACAACTTATAGAAATCTGTATCATGTCTCATGTAATCGCTCAATCAGTGTTCAACCGCGAATGACTTCAATAAAACAGCTTGTAAACAATGTCACGTGATGTTATATTTACCTCAGAAAAGCCATTCAGGAACCATAAACTCTTTAGTCAGCTGGAACAATTTGCTTTAGAGAGGTGTATTTTGTTAATATATGCACTATATTACATATTCATTATATTTTTACTTAATTTGTTTTTCAATATTTAATGTATGTTTGAATAAATTCACAATGAAACAAGTTTACATTTAATTCGTTTTTTGAAATATAACATTTTATAGAGTAGAAATAACTTAATTGTCATTAAAAGGTTATTATTAAATGTATTATTATAAAAACATTTTTGCGTAATTTTAATGTTTGTATACAAATCAGTTACATTTAATCTTAATGTTATAAATGTACAAACTGACAGGGTTCCCTTTGGTTTACAGCATTAGTTGAGAATTCAGAATTGATCAGATCATCAGAATTGAAAGCTTGTGAATCGAAATCGAATCAAATCGTGAAATTTGTGTCAATACCCAGCCCTAGTGTTTAGTGTCAACAGTAGTTATGTAGTAGTTATTCATATGGTGTTGATGCAGGGCTCCAGACTAACTTTTTTCACTAGGAGCACAGTGGCCCCCAAATTAAAATTTAGGGGCACACACCATAAATCAACATGCTAACCAAATATTCACATTTCTACTAATTTCCACTGTATTACTAATAAATACTTTGATAATAAATACAGAAATTACAATGTGCGGTTTCAAATTCAGTGTCACATTTTATTGTGCACTTTTGAAGATGCAACAACAAGGTAATCCGACACCATCGCTGTCATGACAGTACAAATATAAAAAAAATATACCATACATTCAGAATTTAAAAAAAGTGCTTAGTAACCTTTCGGTCATTTCACAATTACAAACAATACTTAACAAATGTATGTATACATTAGGGGCACTGGCCAATAACATTCCACTAGAACAAGGTGGCGACTGCAACATTCGCAGTTCATGGAGGTCGTCTCCTCAACCAGCTGAATTCTCGCAGCCTGTCTTCCTGAAAATGGTGGGTTCGGGCTTTTTTCGCCACACTGGCCACTCTGACTCTGAATCATCATCCGACTGTGATACTGTTGACTCTGGCACTAGCCGCAGGTCAGAAGAACGAGTCGATAGATCGCTTGCTCATTGCTCAGACGCACATAGCAGGTTGTGATATCTGTCTCTGTCTCCCTCCCACAGGCGTTTATGCGCGCTCGATTATCTCTAGGACCCTCGCCCTCCACACATTAGCCACTTACAGTGGCCATTCCCTATTCTTGTCACACTCATTGGCCTGCCACTCATTCCAGATTCATTGACGCGCCCCTTCCACGTTTAACGTGTTAAAAAAAAGGGCAAATTTACTGGTCGCACACTCTCAAATTGTGGTCGCAGTCTGGAGCCCTGTGATGTATTGCTATATTGTCAGCTCTGATTATTTTCTCAGCTTTACATCTTCACATTCTATCTCTTATCAGCAGACGTACGTCGCTCAAGTCTTACAGGACGAGAAGAGCACTGGCGAGGACGAGGGCCAGGCGTCCTCGCAGGATGAGGAAGTGGTGACCGAGGGGGATTTCCAGTCCGGAGAGGACAGCCTTATTGAGAACGAGGTGCATCAGTGACCCATGCCAGGGCCACACCATGTACTGAACTTAAGAGAAACTAGCAGGAGATCCACTACACCTCACTACACTTAACGCGTGTGTGTGAGCGTGTGTGTGTGTGTGCGTGAATCCATCACAGCTGACAGCTAAAACACTCCTTTATTATTAAGGCTTGGAGACAGGATGGCCAATTGTCAAGAATCTGAAGTGGCTTGTGATTGTACTCCATAAGAAACTGGTTCATCATAGTTTCATAATTATTGTTTGCAATGTTTGCCCTGTTCGTACAGCATTTGGTCAGTACCAAGTTTCTTGCCCTTGCAAGCGCATGTCTAGTAAATAATACCAAAAATAGTAATGATCACTAATTTGCCATTAACATTTTAATTCACCTATGTTATGATGTTATGATGTTATGGAAACTGCTATAGTGCTATCTCAGGTGGGCAGTAAAATTGTATATCAGCGGGGATTTCATTTCATCTTTTGCATAGGGAAAAATCTGAATATTTCTTCATTGGTTACATATGATAATGGTCAATTAATACAGTTTGGCAACTGTTAAAAACAAAAAAAAATATGTATATGACAACAGATAACAGTGCTCTACAATAACAATTTCTCCATGTTTACCATCTGAGGCCCAAAACATTTCAGTGATGGTGGATTTGATAATTTAGCAAATATTGTGTGAAATCACATATCTTTGAAAAGCTTGTTGAATAAACATCAATCAGAATGACAGACTGCTGAGTTGAAGTTTTGAGTTTGGCAAGGGAACCAAATATTATTTTCTTGGCCCTGCTGAAATGGCACTATAGCACAATATATTTAAGACATGCAGATTAATTCACGCAACTTACCATTCTTCTCTACCAAAGTGAATGTATTTAACATAAAGGCATTACTACTAGTGGAAAACTCACACCAGCCTGCTGAATTAACGGATTGTGAGGAAAACAGCCACCGAACACTAATTGTCTCAACTGGAAAAGCCACTTTCAGACTTATAGACTCAAAGGCAATTCACCATCCCTGTAACCATTCAAGGTCAAAGTCAAACGCATCTCCCACCCTCTTCTGCGCATCCAATGATTCAAGAGTTTAAATGTAAACCTTTGCATTACTAATCCATACTTGCGCTATGCGTGATATGAAACTACTTTCTGAATCAGGCATCAAATGGACCAACTTTGTGTTGCTCTACTGTGGAATGTTCTGTCAATAAATGATACTGTAGCAAATTGAACTTAAACGCACAGCAGATTCCCTATGTGGACCTTAAGGTGGAATTTTTCTTTTTATTATGCATGGGTATGAAATGATGGTTTCATCAGATTATTATTATTAATTTTTTTTGGCGCTAACAAATGATAATGTAGACATTAACCATTAAACATATTTTACTACTTAAACATAGTTTACTACTCATGTAAACTATTACTGTAAAAAAAGCATTGAAACATGCCCAGAATCCCTGAACGCCCTAAAAATTGGGTAATGATGATAGCTAAATCTCATTAGGTCATATAAACATGTGTCTTTAATATGGCCTACTTTGTTGCTATTGTGGTGTGTTCCTTTGCAATTTTTCAAGAGAACTGGAAATAACAGAATCCATGCTATGGTTCTTCTTACCTGTGTGCATTTACAAGCTGTTCACTGACACTTGCAGTTCTGAGATCATTTGACTGGGTTTATGCATCATTTAGTGGTTGAAGTCTGAAAAAAAGAATACAAAAACTAGTACAATGACCACTATTTACTGACCACTATTAAAACTTTTTGGGGTTTTTTTGACAACTACACTCTTTATATCTAGTCGTCGCCATGCTCAGACATTTTTGCTACTTTGTCCATTATATACATATTGCATTTTTGCTCTCTGTGCATTGTTGAAATGCAAGTCAGAACTGGAAACGAAATATTTTTAAGAAAGTTATTGGAGCAGACAAAGGCTGTGCCCGAGTACTTGCTTTAACATCATTTTATTTTCTCTGTCCAGTCCCTAATTTGTTCATCTTTCCTGCTAGTGGACCTAAATAGTTCTCATTGTGTCATTTGTTTACACGAATAGCAATGCAGTGTTTAAACTGTCATTTTCTGCAACAAATGTTGACTTGAAACAGTCGTCGGGTGTACAGTATGTAAGCTTGTGAATTAGAACACTAGGAAGCTAATCAGTGATATTTTTAGTTAAATTTATGTATATCACACTAATCTATCAATCACTGAGGAGCTCTGTAACTTTTAAACGCAAATAACACTGTAGGCTATGCACTTCGTGTGAAATATGTAACATTATCATGGTGTATGTAACAATTTCAAGCCATTTTTTTTTTTTTTTTTTTTATTGATCTTGTTTGGACAACGAGTAACTGCGGTGCTTTGTACGTCTGACGCTCTTGCTGCTTAGATACTGTAGGTGATGTCCGTATGACTGCATCCTGGATCTGTTTAAGGAAAAACACTGTTCTGAAGCATGATGCAGTGGCAATAATTTATTTATGCATCTTTATGACTTTTCCTGTTTGTTACAGATGTTGTCCACAGTATTTATTTCATTTGTCTATTATTTTTCCATCTTTTGAATTAACTGGCTGTTGAACTGGAATGAAGAGGTTAAATCGGTGTAATATTTTTGTAAATAGAAGAATTGCGCTGCTCTTGGAACACTAAACTGTATTTACATTTGTACAGCTTAGACAGCAAAACCATGTACAGTCGACCATGAATTGTTTGCTTTTGTCCAATTAGATTTCCCTTAAGATCATACTATGCTTGTGATTGCTGTTTTTAATAGTTTTGTATCTCAACCTCCCCTCAAATGATCTTTTGTACAGTGTCATCTTCAATCTCTTACATGTCTTTGAACAATAAAATAGACATTTACTGACAAAACCATATCAAGTGTGAAGAAATTCTTTTATAATGTCATTTATAAATTATACAAAGAAATGCACTAATTGTTTCACTTTACTGATTCTTTCTACTTATTTAAAACATAGTTTAGTTTAAGCAAGCAGCGTAGTTTAGATTACAGTGAACAGTGTGATTATTTATATTGATATATCAGAATTGAGTTAGTATTTTGTGCTTATACAGAAATTAAAAGGTATCATTTTAAAGCAATGTTCCATTTTCTTTCTGACCAAATGTGTTTAATTACTGAATCTTTGTGTTGTTGATGAACACTAATGACTTTAACTATTGAGTGGATTAACTTAAAACAAACAATTGTACACCCTTTACAAGAAAAAAAAAAAAAAAATTTTTAAACTTTAAATAATATGGTTTTAAAGTGCTTCTTTACCTCCTATGAGGAGTCATGATATCGTTTTATGGCAGCTTTCTTCCCTCTGCCACGAAACAGTGAGTACAATCTTTGACCTCTCATAGTCTTATGGTGGAGTCTTGTGATGTGTCTCCAGACGAGGAAAAACAGGAACAGAGAGTCATAAGCTCTCACATTTTCTCTGATGTTTGATTCACTAACGAATCTTTCATCTGAACCGATTCTTTTCAATGGTAAAGTCGAATCATTCGACTACATTTGGCGTCGGGAAAATGTATTAAAAGTGTTTACCAACAATTATATTGAAGGGACAAAGAGATAGAGGTCAAGTATGTTAGACTCCATTGTTATATTTCTATAGCTATAGCAAAGCCCGTCTACGGAATACATATTAGACATTCTCTGGCTATAGTAATGAACTCGCCGTTCTGAATTCAAATTGTCGGTGAAGCTGATATGAGAACCATATTAACAGCGCTCTAGTCGTGTTATTTTTAAATTCGCATTACCTATATAACCTGAATCTTCTTATGACAATACTCTCAAAGAATATTTTCATGTATTGTAAAAGTTATTGAAGTAATGCGTCGTAAAGGAAGCCGCTTACCTCAGACGCTCTGGCAGCGGTGCGCGCGCGCTCTCCATAGTTCAACGGCTTTTGCGCGTGCCCATATCTAATCTAATGTTCACAACATTTAAATGTGACTTAAATACTTAAGTGACTCGCTTGGCGGGTGAAAATAAGTCTGTTTGCCAACTGTGCTTGGTTTTTTTTTTCCCTAACGTAAGCAAATAATGCTCCACAAACGTTGTATTGTGGTTATACACAAAATGTAGTCGATCAAAATATATTTTAATTTTTTTGAGGTAATTTAGACGTGCATCTTTATAACCTTATAGTGATAACATACCAATAAACAGCAATTTTACAACGGAAATAAAACGTAACAAAATAAATCCCGACTGATGGTTTTCCTGATGACACTTCTGGGTGACGACGAATCAGTTCACCGAAAAGAACCGATTCTCTTAAATGAATCGAACACTCTTCTGAGCATTAGTTTCATGTAATTCATTTTCTCAGACTCCAGGGGTGTAGTTTAGGGTGGTGGAAGATTATGGAGGGTGTTGAGACGTGGAGAACTCCACTATGCATTTCATTGAGTGTTCAAAGGGGATATTTTGTCTTCCTTTTGTATTTTAGGGTGTTTACACGTGGTGCAGCTTGAATGTGCGTTAAGAGGTTTGATCGGAAGGGCTGAATAACAGAAGCAAGCATGGACGGAGCGTGGGGTGTTATTCTCATATCTCTGGCAATGTTCGTGGGATGTTTCGTGCTCGGGATAATTCCACTATTGATCAATTTATCAGAGGTAAGATGATTCACATTCAACAAGTGTTGTTTATGCACTAAGTTACTGTAAAGCAGAACATAACGGGATACATAACGTTACAGACGATAAAGCAATATATCAAATGCAGATAAAAACAAAGTGTTAAAATACACTATATGTACATTGTTGCATGCGTTATAATTGAAGTTAAGCTGTATCATTAAGGTTGTTACTATACCTTGTACTTTAGCCTGTGGTTTTGCGTTCAGGCACGTAACGGTAGCTGCTTTTCTTTTTCTTTTTTTCTTCTTTTTTTTTACGTTAGCTGCTTTTATGCACGTGATATTTGGATCTAAAAAAATCTCTGTGCTGTAGCAAACAGTTCAACTTTATATATTTTGAGTTGAATGTCATCGTACAAAAAAGGTACTGTGGTATACACTCACCGGCCACTTTATTAGGTACACCTGTCCAACTGCTCGTTAATACTTAATTTCTAAGCAGCCAATCACATGGCGGCAACTCAGTGCATTTAGGCATGTAGACATGGTCAAGACAATCTCCTGCAGTTCAAACCGAGCATCAGTATGGAGAAGAAAGGTGATTTGAGTGACTTTGAACGTGGCATGATTGTTGGTGCCAGAAGGGCTGGTCTGAGTATTTCAGAAACTGCTAATCTACTGGGATTTTCACGCACAACCATCTCTAGGGTTTACAGAGAATGGTCCGAAAAAGAAAAAACATCCAGTGAGCGGCAGTTCTGTGGGCGGAAATGCCTTGTTGATGCCAGAGGTCAGAGGAGAATGGCCAGACTGGTTCGAGCTGATAGAAGGGCAACAGTGACTGAAATAACCACTCGTTACAACCGAGGTATTCAGCAAAGCATTTGTGAAGCCACAACACGCACAACCTTGAGGCGGATGGGCTACAACAGCAGAAGACTCCACCGGGTACCACTCATCTCCACTACAAATAGGAAAAAGAGGCTACAATTTGCAAGAGCTCACCAAAATTGAACAGTTGAAGACTGGAAAAATGTTGCCTGGTCTGATGAGTCCCGATTTCTGTTAAGACATTCAGATGTTAGAGTCAGAATTTGGCGTAAACAGAATGAGAACATGGAACCATCATGCCTTGTTACCACTGTGCAGGCTGGTGGTGGTGGTGTAATGGTGTGGGGGATGTTTTCCTGGCACACTTTAGGCCCCTTAGTGCCAATTGGGCATCGTTTAAATGCCACGGCCTACCTGAGCATTGTTTCTGACCATGTCCATCCCTTTATGGCCACCATGTACCCATCCTCTGATGGCTACTTCCACCATGTCACAAAGCTCTAATCATTTCAAATTGGTTTCTTGAACATGACAATGAGTTCACTGTACTAAAATGGCCTCCACAGTCACCAGATCTCAACCCAATAGAGCATCTTTGGGATGTGGTGGAACGGGAGATTCGCATCATGGATGTGCAGCCGACAAATCTGCGGCAACTGTGTGATGCCATCATGTCAATATGGACCAAACTCCCTGAGGAATGCTTCCAGCACCTTGTTGAATCTATGCCACGAAGAATTGAGGCAGTTCTGAAGGCAAAAGGGGGTCCAACCCGTTACTAGCATGGGGTACCTAATAAAGTGGCCGGTGAGTGTATATGGTAAGATTACCACGTTCATATGGCATTTCGAATGTCTAAAAACATTGCAATACTCTTGTACTTTTTTGTCAGTGTCATACTATAAACCATGTAAGTCCATGACTATTAACAGCTAATGCAATAAATGTCTATTTTGACATTGAAATGCAAGTTTAAAGTTATTTAAAGACATTTTCTCCACCCTTACAGCACAAGCTGCAGTTGATTACTGTGTTGGGGGCGGGGCTTCTATGTGGCACTGCCCTGTCAATCATCATCCCAGAGGGGGTGGAGTTAGTGCAGGAGTCATGGAAAGGTAAGACTGGCCATCTTTCTCTGTTTTATTCATTCACTTCTCTATCAGGGAATGGATATGCAGAGTCATGCACACTCTTTTTCTTTGTTTACTTTTATGCAAAGTCATTTTTAATGGTAACCCCATACTCAGCAGGCCATGATCAATTATGTTTGCAAATACATGTTTTCTCCTCCTCCACTATAGACTGGTATTGCTCCTCTATGGAATGGAATCAAAATATATCTGGATCAAATTCAACACTTCATCTAGTCGAAAAAAAAGGTCTGCGTCCTCATTTCTTCATAGGAGTCTCTCTCGTCTTGGGCTTTACGCTCATGTTTGTGGTGGATCAGATTGCCAACTACTGCTCCATGAACGGTACCTCAATCATAAACTTATCATCATAAACACAGTTCTAAAATTATACACTCACTTCTTCCAAACATAGGCTGTGTTCAGAATAGAAATGTATAGTGTAGGTTCCCTTATATTGTTTTTAATCATTTTTTAAATGGTATACAACAAAATATTTCAAATTGTAGAATGATGTATTGTTTAATTCAGTGAGTTATCATGTCAGATATACAACCTTATTTTGCGTTTTTAATCCAACTTTAATTTTTTTTTTTTTATCCTAACTTTTGGGGTGACTTAAAACATTTTGAGAAATATCTAGGTCATATTTCACCTCAAAATCAAAACAGAATTATAATAAATTGCACTTTGCATAAAGATTAGGCCTATTTTTATAGAGCTGATTAAAGGGTTAGTTCACCCAAAAATGAAAATGCTAAGACTTTCGTTCATCTTCAGATCACAAATGAAGATCTTTTTGATGAAATCTGAGATTTCTGTCCCTCCATTGACCGCTACGCAACTACCACTTTGACGCTTCAAAGAGATCGTAAAAATAATAGAAATCTCTCAGATTTCATCAAAAAGATCATCATTTGTGTTCTGAAGATGAAAAAAGTTACTGGTTTGGAACGACATGAGGATAATTAATTACAGAATTTAAATTTTGGGGTGAATTATCTCTTTAAGATCTTTTGCATGTGCATCAAGCACAAGTCTTGTATCCACACAAGTCTTCAATTCTCAGTAGTTCAGTGTAATGTCAAATTTAATTCTTAGTGTATTATTGAAAATATAAAGCACAACTGCAAGCATGCATCCTGAATTTAATTTATTCCACTTGGGCGCACACAGACACAATGAAGTCTGCGGAAAGACAACCCGGTGTGAAATGCAGTCAAATGCTCTCTTGAGAATATTTCTGTTTGTCTTGTTTCCCAGATCCCCGAGTGCGCATGCACAGTGGCAACAGTGTTACTGCCACCCTGGGTCTGCTTATTCACGCCGCAGGTAACAAGAGCCTCAACGCCACTATTGTGTTCCCACATTTCCCAGATTACACTACAGTGAATCATGCCAGTAGTGCTTGTCCTGAGGATGATTATTCAAGTCAGTGAACAATGGGTTTCTAAATAATCTTCCGTTTTGTGTTTATCACAGCATCTGTCCTATAATTACCAAAAAGGGACACAATCTAGGGACTAAAAACAGACTGAACTCATTGTCTGGTTTGGTTTTCATGGCTAGTGTTGCATTTCTGTTTTCACACAAAGGGAATAATGATGCCTCAGTTGGTTTGGTTGCAGTGTTTTGTCAGGTGTGGAGAGATGCCCACAGCTTGTGATTTGCATGACATTCACATCATTTCTCTCTCTTCAGCTGATGGTGTGGCTTTGGGTGCAGCTGCCGCCTCATCACAGGTGTCTGTGCAGGTTGTCGTGTTTTTTGCTGTCATTTTGCACAAGGTGAGACTTCTCTGGTATCGGTCTTTCTAATAGTCTGTCTGTAATAACACTGCTGAGTCAAGTGACTCTAGTAACACCAAGATCATGGGTTCGATTCCCAGCATGAACTGATAAAATCTATTCCTTAAATTCAATGATAGTCGCTTTGGATAAAAGTGTCTGCCAAATGCATAAATGCAAATGTAAAAGTATTGACATATCCACAAAATACTGAATCTAAGAAAAACTAATTATATAATAGTCTTTAATATAATAATATTCACAATGGCTCACTCGATTTAGTGATTTAGTAATAATAATTAGGGTTGCTTGCCAATTTAATGTGTTAACTATAGAAAAAAACGTGTTAAAATTATCATAATGATATAGTTTAGCCAATGTCATCTGAGCAAGAGTGCTGTCTTTTCCCAAATATCTGCATGATTCCAAATGTAATATTTATTTTATAAAACGGTTAAAAAAACAAGATGTTAATATAGCGTTACATTTTAGACACAATAGTGTCTGTTTTTGCATTTCGCCAATGAAAATAATCCCAAATAAAGCCACAGCAGAGCTGATGTGCATCTCCGAGCAACACAGCGGTGTTTCATCACTGAATGAATCTGCGTAGTCAGACCTTTAGACTTCAGTCTGGACTCTATCGCAGCTTTCATTGGCCAAGGACCACCCAGAGGCCGTTTGACTGTCATGTAAAGCAACCAATCACAGTCTGTTTGGTTCTGTGTTATGTTTAGGGCATGAAAATGTAACGTCGATGTGCCTACGATAACAGACCGGTGTGTAAAACTCTTGGATGTATTTAAAGAGTCTATGCCAGCGTTTATCTGAGACTGACCAGCACTCATTGTCACAGTTGTAAACGGGGTTTGGCATCACGGCATCTTTGTTTTCAGGCGGACCATTAAAAACGCGACACACATGTCCTGTAGAATTCAACCAATCAGGTGACCAATCTGTGGGCCTGACGTCTGAGGCTGAGACTAAATCGAGTCAGCCATTGATTCAGTGACTCATTCATAAAAAAAGTCCACTTGCTTCGTTCCTGAATGAATCGGTTGAATAAATGACTCGCTCATTAAAGGGATACTCCACTTTTTTTGGAAATAGGCTCATTTTACAACTCCCCCAGAGTTAAACTGTTGAGTTTTACCGTTTTTGAATCCATTCAGCCGATCTCCGGTTCTGGCGGTACCACTTTTAGCATAGCTTAGCATACATCATTGGAGTGGACAAGACCATTAGCATTTCTAAAGAAAAATGACCAAAGGGTTTCGATATTTTTCCTATTTAAAACTTGACTCTTCTGTAGTTACATTGTGGACTAAGACTAACGGAAAATGTAAAGTTGAGATTTTCTAGGCTGATATGGCTAGGAACTATACTCTTATTCCTGCGTAATAAATAATCAAGAAACTTCACTGCCGTACCATGAGTGCAGCAGGCGTAATGATATGACGCAGCGCCTGAAAATAGTTCCGTTGTGTTGAAGGAAGGTGGCCTATTTTCAGGCGCTGCGTCATATCATTACGCCTGCTGCTCTCATGGTACGGCAGTGAAGTTTCTTGATTATTACGCAGGAATAAGAGTATAGTTCCTAGCCATATCAGCCTAGAAAATCTCAACTTTACATTTTCCGTTAGTCTTAGTCCACAATGTAACTACAGAAGAGTCAAGTTTTAAATGCTGCTGGGAAAAGACAGCACTCTTGCTCAGATGACATTGGCTAAACTATATCATTATGGTCATTTTAACACGTTTTTTTCTATAGTTAACACATTAAATTGGCAAGCAACCCTAATTATTATTACTAAATCACAATTTTTCTTTAGAAATGCTAATGGTCTTGTCCACTCCAATGATGTATGCTAAGCTATGCTAAAAGTGGTACCGCCAGAACCGGAGATCGGCTGAATGGATTCAAAAACGGTAAAACTCAACAGTTTAACTCTGGGGGAGTTGTAAAATGAGCCTATTTCCAAAAAAAGTGGAGTATCCCTTTAAGACAGTGACCTGCCGGTTTTAGTTTCATATTTCATTTTTCATTCATATTCATGCCACCTCTGAGTTAAACAGTCTGTGTAAATGCCACTTGAAATGCGCCTTTTTGAAGAAGAATAAAAAAAATTTGTAGCCTTAAAAATTTACGTATAATAAATTCTATGTTGAATCTAACTATTTCTTTCTAAAGCTACTTTCCATAATGTCTAATCAATGCTTTACTTATCTAACACAGTAATGACTTTAAAAAAGATTTTTTGGGGGGTCATTTGCAATTAATTCGCTTAATTAATCAGCACATCGTGTAATTAATTAGATTTTTTTTTAATTATCACTTGACAGCCCTAATAATAATACCATTTAATGTCCGTTAATGATAGGAAAAAAAAAAAACTTGTCCACTGCCATGCATTTGTTTCCAGTTAGTCTGCAATTGTCTTGCTTTATTCAACACAAATTCTCTCTCTCTCTCTCTCTCTCTCTCTCTCTCTCTCTCTCTCTCTCTCTCTCTCTCTCTTAGGCTCCAGCTGCGTTCGGTCTCGTGTCTTTCCTCATGCACGCAGGTCTGGAGAGGAAGACTATTCAGACGCATTTACTGGCATTTTCTGCTGCTGCGCCACTGATGGCCATCAGCACTTACTTCATCCTTAGTGCGGTGAGAGACCCTGTTCTCTTTATTCATTCTTTGAAACCTAGGCCCTGTTTTCACCTGATATTAAAGTCGGCATGAAATCAAATTTGACAAATCTTCTTTTTATATGTAATATTGTAGTGTTTATTATAAATGATTTATCTGTGCACTTCATTATTTTTTTTAAATTCATGTACCCTTATAATCTTTAATCAAATACATTACCCTTCCCTCCCCCCTCGAAACGACCTCTCTTCTCTTTCGGTCACGTGCAATGGCGAAAGGGTGCGGCCAGAGCCGATGAGGGTGCGGCTATCGGTGCACCGCCTCTCAGAGAAGATACATTCAAATCTGCCTCCATTTTGTTCGCAACGCCCAACCTCCAACGATCCAATCAATTCCCGAAGGACGAAATCAAGCCCCGCCCTACATTTTTTTCTAATTTCAGAAGCCGTTTCACTCGGATATACTTCACAACAAGGAAAAATGACAATCTCAACTTCCGTTTCATGCCGACTTTAAGATACGTTTTGGCCGATCGGATCACAAGTAGACGAGGGAGACACATTCCCGTTTACACCTGGTGTTTTAATTCGTCTCTTTTGTCCACTTTCAACCACTTCTGTCCTGATTTCTTCGAGGGGAGGGTCTATGGGCGGATAAATGTATGTTTTTTCAGAACTTTTTGATCTAATGGACAAAATAAGCTCACGCAATTTACATATGAACGCGACCGGAGACAACGGAAAAACATATGGAGAGCATTAGCTTTAGTTTATACTCTGACAGCCACAAGTCCAGCCGAACGCTGTGAGTGTGTGTTAGAAAGGAATGGTGAGAAAACATTGTGTTTGGTACGTTTTTCGTCTTCAAACCAAACTTGGGTCTCCAGCTGACAGTTTAAATCCCCTCTGGCTAGTGCGCTTCCCATAATGCTTACGCATTAGGTCAGTTGGCGGAGAGTAAACATCTTTTGTGGCTGTTCAAACACATTCGACCGGATTCCTTTCATAGTGTAAACGCTCATGCGGTCGAATGTATTTAAACAGCCACAAAAGACGAGTTTCGAGTTTTTGACGACCTCTGGAAGCGGTCGAAAGTGGACAAACTCAAAACGTTTTAGACCCTGTTTATGAAGCTGAATTTTTGAAGCTGTTATGTTTGTTTCTAATAAGTAACTAGATAAGAATGTTTGGGGTGTGAGTGTGTCATGGAGAGAGAATGTATGTTCTGAACATTACATTACAGTAGTGCAACTACATATTTTCCATTTAATTCTTCTGTTGTTATTTATTCTGTACTGATCTAAAATAAGTAATATACTTTTTTGTCTTTTGCAGTCTAATGGCTCGTCCCAGAGCCGTCTGAGCACTACAGGCATTGGAATGCTGTTCTCAGCTGGGACTTTCTTGTATGTGGCCACAGTTCATGTTCTGCCTGAAATCAACAGCAGAGGACAGCAGAGCTCCACTCACCTCTACCATCACGCGGGATCTGGATCCTACCAGCACCAGGGCGGTCTGGGCATCACAGAGAGCCTCACTCTCATCCTGGGGATGGGACTGCCCGTGCTGTTGGCCCTCGGACTGCCAGATGATTAATCTGTAAAAACAATCCAACAGCCAGATATGTGACGTGTAATGATTCATTTTGAAATGTTTATATTTTTATAAAGATTTGAGAATGCTCGTTTGAGTTTTGTTTTGTCATGATTAGTGTTGTGAAACTTCCCACATGGTCAGTTTTAACTCTTAATTTGTTTTTGGCTTTTGCCGAGAAACAAAACACAAGCCTGTGGCATGCTGGTATTTATGTGCAGTTATGGTCCGACTCTGGGTCATTTGTCGCCTCCACGCTGCCATATTGAATCAAAGAAAAAAATATTGATATTTACGTTCTTATACCTAGAATCAAATTTTATTTTGTCTTACAGCTGAAGTCATTTTTTCTCACTGCCATTAAGTTGCAATAATTAAGTGCAATACAGTGCTCTTTTTCCAAAGATTTAAAAAATATTGTTGCTTTTTTTTAGTTTTTTATTAAACCAAGAATGCCTTATATTAGTATAAACCAATATTTATGTTTAGAATTACAATGCAGTGCAATCTTGATATGGCACGACAGTCTCTCTGGTACGTGACAATCTATTAAAAGCCATTTAAAGCTACTGTTTGTGTGCATTTTTTGTGTTTTGCAAATCATTTTTGTGGATCAACATTCCTGTCCAAAAACAGTCCCTAGCCCTAGCCCTAAACTAAGCCTAAACTTGACGACAACTGCAAAGTTGTCCCTCAAATCTGATTGGTTGATTGGAATGTTGTTCCAGGATCAACAAAGATGAGCTTGTTGAAAAGGTCTGTTGCTGATAAATAGCTATTGATACACCAATAGATGTGCGTCAGACTATATTTATCTTAAACCTGCAATTTTAGTGATGATCTTTTTAGTAACTTGACACAAGAATGCCCTGACTGAATTTGCAATTAGCAATAGTACTGGCCAAGCACAATGTGAAGGTTTCCAACTAGTGTTGTTAAATCGATTAATCGCATCTAACATCGAAGTTAGTGTTTTTATATATATGTGTGTCTGTGAGGCTATGTATGCATGTATATATATACACACACACATTTATTAACAAACTTTTACATTAGATGCGATTAATCAAGATTAATTGATTTGACAGTGCTATTTCTAACCAAGTTGGTCTCAAATTTGCAACAAGTCTATAAAAAAAAATTGAGAAATATTGTTAAATATTCCAAAACTTTATTGGTGAATAAAGCATTCAGAAATCACATTATTTGTTCAAATAAAAGTCAATAAATAAATTCTCTATATAATAAATACATGGCCTGTCTTTGGTGAAGTCTAAAAGCTTATTAATCGTCTTTTGACTTGATAAATACATTTATCAGCACTGTAAACACCTCATTTGTATGAAAAAACATACATAAAACTAGTCTAATACTTGTGCTGGAAGCTGGATTTACATTTCAAATGTGCCTATAAACTTGATTTATGTCTATTGTTTGGCTGCATTAATACTATTGTAATTTGATTATCATCAGTAGCACTCTTCATAGTTTCAGGCGACCCATGTGAGCGTTCAGCTCGGCTTCTCGAGCCATCTGGTCAAAGGTGCGCCGGGACGTCTGCTCCCTCACCCTGTCCCGCATGTAGCAGGAGGCGTGAGCCACTTTCCGGCTCCTCTCCATGACCTCGACCCTCTCTTTCTGCAGCTTCTCCCTGCGCTCGTCCTTCTGCGTCACGGCTTCGCATCTTTGCTCCCACTGTGCTTTCTCCTCCTCCAGGACTCGGTCTTGTAGCCTGCGATGATTCATTTCCTTTTCCTGGTTTTCTCGTCTGATGCGCTGAGCTCTGCGACTCCGCTCCTCCTGCGCCTGACGCACGGCGTTCTCCATCCTCATCTGGCACCGTTTCACCAGCGTTTGCTTCTGCTCCACCCAATCCCTGTTCTCCCTCTCCACCCGCTCCTGCGCCGTCCGCATCTGCTCCTCCTCCTTCAGCGCACGCAGCCGCATCTCCTGCACGCGCGCCTCCACAAGCACTTCATGGTTCTCCGAGGAGCGCTGCAGCTTCCGCTCTAGCCCGTTTCTCCTCAGCTCCTTCTCCACGTGCTCCTGCTCCTCGGCCTCCTTTTTTAGGAGGAGGTGCTTGAGAAGCTCCCTCTCGTTCTCTTGCTTGATTCTCCTCCGTTCTCTCTTTTCCTGCGTTCGCTTGCTCCTCATCGCATGCTGTTCTCTATCACGCGCCGCCTGCAACTCCGTCTCTCGCTGCGCCTCCTCATTGCGCTCCTTCTCCTGCCAGAGCCTCTCCTGGTAGCGCTTGCGTTCTTTCGCTTCCCTGTTTGCCACGTTATGCTTGGACCTGCGTTGAGTTTGTTGCTCCTCTGCAAGTCTTCTCCAGCGCTCCTCCTGTTGAAGCGTCTCTCGTTTGCGTTGCTCCGTAAGAACGGCCTCCTGTTCCTCTCGACGCCTCCTTCGCTCCTCCAAGTCCTCCTGCCAGCGACGGATATGTCGTAGAAGCTCTTTTCGCTTCTTTTGCTCCAAGCGAGCTCTCCGCGCCTCCTCGCGCCTCTTCTCCTCCTCGCGATTTTGCTCCTCGAACTTGCTCTGCCGTAAACTAAACTGCTCCTCTTCATGCTTGGCCAGCATCAATGCGGCAATCTTATGATCTTTTTCCGGGATTGTGATGCACAGTTTGCGACTGATCTCCTGCGAGAGGCTTTTTAGTCGGCGCTCCGTCGCAGGAGAACGTCTGAGGTCGGCCAGACTGAAACTGTAGGGTAACCTCTGAGCGTATGTGGTCGTAAACCTGTCTGAGATGGTGATCGCAGACTTTGAATCTGTGAAGCGTGGATCACTGGGACTTTTGACTTTGGAGTCAGTGCTTTGACTCTCGGCTTTTTGTTCTAGGACGGTTTCCAGGGCTGTGAAGGGTTTTACAGATGACTTTCTATTCCAGCCCTCTTGTATGATTCGCTCTCTCTCCTCTCGACACAAGCGCAGTCGTTCTCTTCTTCCTTTCTCGTACTCCTCATATAATACAGTCACTTCCTCCAAAGAGGACTCCAGGTTTTCATCAATAACATCTGTGAGGGATCTGAACAGCAGATCAACAGGTTTCACTCCCAGTCTTGCACAGGATTCAAGTGAACGTGGACTTGTCAGAACATATCTGCTGTCTTTAGCTTCGGGAGAGTTAAAATTATTCAAATCCAAATGCAGGATCGGTGAAATTGATCTAATATGCTCCATTAACACCTGTGTTTAATACAATGAGTGCATTTGATCGAGAATACAGCTGGTTTACTAATCCGTCATACTAGTCCCCCGGTTGACAGACAAAAATAAAACGTGTTTTAATACATTTTTAGTCTACGTTTTTGATTTTTGTAATACTTATTGGCGCCTGAACCTGCTCTTCAAAACCTCGGACGCTTCTCGGATCACCATAGCAGCGCAGTAACGTCACAGGAACAGGCCTCGTGTTCAAGCTTATGGGAATTCAAATTCAAAACAGCGCCATCTAGCGACCAGGCGTTTATACTGCCACGACAGTACCGGTACTTTTCAAGCAAATCCAGTACGTTTGTTTGGTTGTAAATTACAAAACAATAGTGAACATGTTGATAGTTAATGTGATGGACTACACCTGATACCTGTGTGATCTTGAGGAGAAATGAGAAATGACACCAAATCTCTAGAGAAACCGTCCTGCAGCATTTGTTTCCACGACATTTGCGTCGATGTTTTGTTTAATGCAATATTCAAATAACCTCTTCGTATATAAAATTGTCATGAAAGCATTTGCTCGTATCGCATAAAACAGAATATCATTAATAAAGGAGATATTCACTCTTAAATAAGCAAAAAACAACATATTCCGTTAATAAAAACGAATCAGTACTAGCTCACTGCAGAAACTAAGTATTTTTGTCTTCTTTTCCAGAACAAATCTAAAAATTCTTAAATCAAAATACATTTAGGCTACTTGAGAAGCAATGACTTAAGATTTAAGTCTTGTTTGTTGCGTTGAGCATTAAAAAGCTTTGCCACAGGAATGACGCCACTAATCAAGAAAACTTCCTGTAATTACAAACCGTTTCTCCAGAAACCCTCCATTCTGAGACCGATGAGTGACCACTGTCTATGTGAGTGACTGACGAGTTGTGCTTCTGGTGCAGCTCACGCACTGAACAGACATCATCGTCAAATTACAAACAGAAATGTGTTTATTTCTACCCCGTCCAGTCACAGACCCACCCCGCCAAACATTTCCATTTTGCACATTTTTTGGAAAACATCTCATTCAGCAAAACAAGTTGTGCATTAACAATGTTAGAATGTGGCTGCAATAAAACATAGAATACAAAAAGCTGTTAAAAAACAATAGTATAAATAATGACAAAATTAATTTTACAATTTTAGGCCTTCACTCTTTGAAAACATTCAAATCAAATACATGCAGCTGACAAAATGAACAACAAACATCTGAACTTATTTTAACATTCAAAATACCACTATAAACTTCAATTGGGGCCCTTTAATATGTGATACAGTACGGTTTATCTAGAACCACTGCAAAATGCGATTTTCTTACAGTATTTTTGTCTAATATCTAAACATTCTTAAATCAAGATGCATTTACAAAAAGTCTTGTTTTCTGAAACATCTAATCAAAATGAATCGAGTTCATGCTTAAAACTAGAAAAAATAACTGCCAATGGTATCAGAAAAATAACTTAATTCATGGGGAAAAACAGATATTTTTAGTTTTAAGCATAAACTTAATGTTGATGAATTCATCAGAGAATAGACTTAAAGTCCCCATGGTGAAAATCAAGTTTTTAATGTTGTTTATATGCCCGTCTCGCTGGTGTTTCTGACGTCACAAACTACCTTGTAACCAATCAGGTCAACATGCGATCGTCACGAGTGGATCTCTGAGCTGAGTGAGTGAGTGGAGGCGGGGCTCTGTTGATTGTTCATAGAACCGCGTATACTAAATGAGGCAAGGTTGTAGAGTTACATTCAAGCTATTTTAAGGCATGAATAATTTTTAAAGGAAAAACATTTAAATGTCATTTTGGTGAACAAAGATGAGTTTTAAGGGGTAAAATGATTGCCTACATGGGGACTTTAAAGCTTAAGCAATATCCCTTCTCAAATAAATTCATCTTGATTTCCATTTTTAATGGAAAAGTAGGCAAAAATACTAAGCAAGAATTTTTTTTGCAGTAAACTACTGCCCTAATAGCTGCAAGTCTCACTAAACAAAACTAAAACAGGGCAATTAAAACTGTTAATACCTACAAAAACATTTTAAAAACTAAAACAGAAAGGTGTTAACCTGACCCATACATTATTGCTAAATACTGAAATGGCACAATATACAAGTACACAAAAACAGACTTTTTGGCTTGATGATGATCATGACATCATAATGATCGTGTAATCCTCGTGTGAATCCAGTCTATTCCAGATGCCATATGCAGTTCTGCAAGAGACACAAGAGGGGCAAATGGATATACAGTATGTGCAGTATGAAAACTTTCTCTCTGGCTCTGTGTACAACTTGGGTTAAAGTTCCTCTTCCTCTTACTGAGAACTAGATCACGGCCCGGAAGCCGAAGGATAACGCGGCTCCCAATGCCAAGCCGAGAGAGAGGAAAAACGCCATGATGGCTCCTGCAGTTTCTGCTTCATGCTGGGAGACTTTCCTGTGGGACGAACACAAAACATTAGAGGACATGAAGAACTTTGACTAAACTGTTAGACGAACATCATCAGGACAATGTTCATTGTGTACAGAAAAGATGTAACTAATGATACTTCTGTTATGGACTGATGATGATGCATCTTAAATGCAGCGTGTTCATTTAAGTTTATTTAACCAAAAAAAGTGCATAATCCAAACAGAAGAAGAGCGACGTCACAGCTTAGACCACACAAACAACACCAGATAATGATGAACACCATGATTTTGTAAAGACTGTTATTTCTCTAGCAGACCAATATAAAGTGTAATATGCACTGTATTTGGCATGTATGTTGATGTTGTTGTTTTGTACTTACTTTGGTCCGAAGCACATGCAGAGACTGGCCAGATATCCGTTGCTAAAGGAGAAGAGGATCATGAAAACGATGTACCAGGAGTCGTGAGCGAACAACACAGGCAGGGTGTATCTGGGCTGAACGTTGCAGAGGAGGAAGAGAGGGATGAACACCACGCGAGCCATGACCAGGATGGGCAGCAAGATGCTGTCTTTACCGGGCTGAACAGAGAGAGGTCACATGTCAGACATTCATCAACATCACCCAAATCTGGAGAGAAATTAATTACCTTTTATTTGTCAATACACTATTAGTGATGGGTTGATGAAGGATTTGGTCATATTATATATGACATTACTACTATTAACTCAAAGCTCTTTGTTGTCAATTTCAAAATTGATCAATAGTTTTGCAAATGAATATAGCAGTTTTTTGTTATTGATTACTAAAACAATTAAAAACTGTTTTCGTTTACTGAAATAAAATAAAATATAAATCTTAGATTGGCAACATGGTTACTAACCGAAATAAAATAAGTTTAAGTACTAAATAATTACTAAAACTACAACTGAAAAAAAAAGCTAAATAGAAATATAAAAACATAAAATTAAACAAGTTAAAACTAAATTGAAAATAAAAATGTAAAATATAAAAATAAAAGCTCATTCAAAATATTCATAAATACTTCAATAGATAATTCACACTAAACACTGAAACGAATAAATAAAACATTTATGAATATTAATACAAATATTGTGTAAATGTTTCAATCAATTTTGTATCATAATGTCACATCTGTATGAAATCATAATTTTGTATTATATCATAATACACAGTTAGCTGTCATCTAATAAACTACCAGGGTCTATCAGGACGGCATCGGTCATTATAAAACCCTTGCTGGTCAACCACTGCAATCCATTTGCTTAAACAGCCAATCAGTGCATGAGAAAGACGTCGAACAGGCCTTTGGCATCTTGAATACATTCTGGGATCATGTGAACGTGGTTTTGCCCCTAAAATACTCAAAAACCCATGACAATACCAAATCTAAATACAGCAAATTTAAAGCGATTGCCTGGACATGACATTTCAATTCATCCACCATCTCCATATACCCCAGAACAAGTTGATGTACTGCAGTTTCTCCCATGATGCTCAGTTTATTTAAATCTCACATTCAGATGGACGCTATAATCGAGTCAAACTACCAGTATAACAAGCGTTACATTGACTGTGGTAAACTGCACACATGACCGTCACATGAGCGTCACACAGCTGACTGCACACCACACGGGCTTCCAGTGGGCATGTGATCAACGAGCCATACCCCCCGGCAATTAGTATTATTCAAAAAAAATATATTATATCAAACTTACTTAAAGATATTCCAATACTTACTATTGTACTGTGAAATTATAAAATCGAGTATTTAATAAACAAACATGAATTTTATTTTACAGAACAACAGTGAAATTACAACACTAACATTAATGGTTGATTTAATTTCTTTATTTTCCATAATTTCCATTGAAACAGGAAGACAGGGCGGGACATATCGAACAACAGCCCCTCCCCCTTTTTTAAATAGCCAATAGCGTTAAGTTTATATCACGACCAGAGCCGTTGAACTCGGCAAAGCCACATTTGATAGCCACAGTCTACTAGTTCCCCTTCTAACTGTTACAAAAGCAAAACCACTTTTGGACAACTTTTATAATCATTTGAGGGTACTTTGTTTTTTTTGTCCAAGAAAGTAAGTCTGTTTTGGACCAACCGATTTTCATTTCTGGCTGAACTATCCATTTGACATGATGTAGGATTTTCCAGAGAAATGTTTTATCGTTTTCCCTGTTATGACAATTGCTGGAACATTTACACAATAAACAGACTCTTGAGTCTTTTCAGAAAGAACTTCTTCATAGGAATACCTTAAAAAATCCCAGAAAGGGAAGGCAAAAAGCAGATGCTCCGTTTGATTTAAGCCCTAATAAAGCATTCAGAGCACGTGTTTGAAGAGTCCCCGTATGCGCCGACTAACACCACACACACATACGTACCCACATACAAAAAGCAGTCAGGCTCCTCCCGGCCCAGTCCATCAAATTGAACAGGAGGAAGCAGGACACAGGGATGAAATACATTTCTGTGAAAAGAGACAGGACAGCTGTGACATTTCTGTAGAGAACATCAATACAGTGAAACATCACACATGCAAACACACTCACCCCATTTACTCCCGTCGGCAATAGTGGACTTGACATCAACAGTGACAGCTGGGAAGGTGCCAATGGTGACGGTGAAAACAAAGCATACGGAAAGAGCCATCACCCAGATCTAAGTCAGGAGACAAGTGTTATTATAAACTGAGGCTTCCTGTTCTCCAGTGCTTATGTGCCATTTCTGCTCCAACTATGGAGATAAGAGATGTGAGCAGAAGGTTGAAGTTAATACCTGTTTAAAGATGCCAAACACTGACACAGCGGGTCTGGTCTCTTCATCAGTCAGACTCAGGACCGGCTTCTTCTCAGCTTCACTTTCTGCCAGCCAAGAACAAAAACACACAATCAATTTCTCTTTGCAGGGAATCACGGATGATACGAGTCAGGTTACAAATTAACTGAATTAATATTGAGACTAAATACAGTTGTCTCTGGTCAAGATTGTGATGTCTTTTTTATTTTGTTGTTTTATTTTATAGCATTTTTTATAGCATTTTATTTTATAGCATTTTGTTTTATTTTATTTGATGATAATTTGTGTTTTATTTTATAGCATTTTATTTTATTTTATAGCATTTTGTTTTATTTTATAGCATTTTAAGATAAGATGCTATAAAATAAAATGCTATAAAATAAAACAAAAAATGCTATAAAATAAAATAAAATAAAACAAAACAAAATAAAAAAGTACAGATTTTCTGAGGGACAAATAAATTACCTCACAATCTTGACCAGAGACATCTGTATTTGGTCTCAATATTAATTCAGTTAATTTGTAAGCTTCAGAGAACATCATTTCTACGATTAATATTTACAATCTTGGCATATTAGGTCTGGTTTCACAAACAGGGCTTAGATTAAGCCAGGATTAGGAGATCTGTCAGTGCAAGTTGCTTTCAGTTAAAACAGCTTAAACATGCATTTTAGTCTGAGACTAGATGTAAGCCTTGTCTGTGAAACCGGGCAGTAAAGTTCAGCACTTTTTCTCCATGGTCTTATATTTCAGTAGTCCCATATATTTGTTCATGAGTGTATGAGGGAGCATCAGATGTCACTGACATTTTGATAAATATGGAATATTACCTGGTTTCAGCAAATCCATCTTGTTTTCCTCATCTGCGATGGACCGAGAGCCATTGCTCTCAGAGTAATACTGGAAAAACTCCTGCAGAACAAATAGTTTTAGTCTTCAAAATGTAAACATCGAATCATAATTCTTTGCATTGATTAGAGGAAATGGAACACAGATGTGAATCTCAAGAGTCAGGGCTTTACACCTTACCATTTTGGGCAGGGCGAAGTAAGAAACCATGGCCAGGAGAATAACGACGCAGGCGGTGATGAAGTAGCCGAAAGCACTGTCCTGTAAAGCAGAGCCCGCTGGAAAACACAAGACAAGGGTCAAAACCTGGAAGCACCAAAATTTCAGTAGTCAGTGCCAAAACCAAGAACATTTTGCAGTTCTCGGTACCAAAACAAAAATTGTTGAATTTAGTACTTTAGAAATGTGTGACGTTTTGTCTCGACCGTTGGTCATCACTGTCAATCATCGTAGTTTCTTATTTAACTGCGCATTTAAAAACTAAACTTGTATTCAGATTGTGAATGAGTAATAAACAGAAAGCAAGAGCAGAGCCTCCATTTACAGTCACTAAGGCCGTCAATCGCCAAAACCCCCGTTATGATAAAAAAAGCTGTCTTAAATGTTCAATGAACTTACTGATAGGCCATTGCGTTCACATGCTAAACAGATATGACTGTGATAGGCTACAATGCTCAATGCTTGTAAAAACATGCTGTAAATATCAACTAACACGAACGTGAGTGTTTGCAGAAATATTGGTACAATAAAAAAATAATGAATTAGTACCGAGTGGTACCGATAGTACCGTTACATTTGACAACCCTAATCTAGAACTAAACGAACATTTCCACAAAACAGATCTGCTTCAAAACATATATTCAGTCATTTAAAAGTGGAATTGTGTTATTGGCACATGAATAAACAACTATCATTTATATCAACTAGCATTTTACTTCTGACATTTAACATCTACTTTGAATCTGTTTGGTCCAGTGTTATTTTAGTATATATTTTATACTATTATAGTATTTATTAATGTTTTTGTTTATTTTTGTAACTTTGGGTATCACTTTATTTTGAGTTGACGTACTTACACATTACTCCATGTACTTACTATAGTAATAACTGTAAATTACGTATAATTACAAGTAACTAACACCAACCGTAAGTCTAAAGAAAATGTAGTTAATTAATATTACTCAGAATTTGAGTATTAGTATTTAGTATTATTTATATATTTATATATTATTTATATGCGATTACAGTACTTAATATTTTTCATTTTAATTTAAAAATTTTATTAGCTATGTTTTTGTATTTATTTTTTAGTACTTCATCTTATTTTATTTCAGTTAAACATTTCTAATTTTTCATTCAATTTTTTTTTTTTTTTAGTTTCTAATATTTAATCTAATATTTATATTTTATTTTATCTCCGCTTTATTTCAATTTACAGAAGACAAGAACGGGTAGTTAAAAATTCATGTATAACTTTGATGAAAGGTTTTGATCCACTTCAAATGTTGACTACTGTATTTTAATAGCTTTATTCTGGTTTGGTCCAAATTGTGGTTCCTCCACTTTGGAAAAGAAGAACGTAAAGAGTGTGATACGGAAGAGGAATACGTACAGGCGAGCGCACAGATCATGGAGAAGGCGGCAAACGTTCCTGCCAGCCCTTGGCCGCTCATGATGGGCGTAGTGTAGGACGCTGGGAGCATTCCAGCCAAACCAAACAGACTCCCTTGCAGAATTGCCCCGAATGCTGCAAAAAGAGGTTGAGAAGAAAAACGTTGGTTAAGACTTGAGATAAAGTCCTAAAGGTCATGACTACACAGAACATCATGAAACATTTCTGAGAGTTAACTCCTTTCAGATCTGTTCTTTCAAGTAGGACCTTCCCCAGCTTGATTTTCAAAACATATTGTGTATTAATATCAGCATCAAAGGATCATGTGTGTGAACTCAAGCCATCTTTTGCTCATTATGAAACCAAACCTTGTGACCTGACCCAGAGGAGAGAATGACTACAGAGAAGACCACTGCACTGAGGTCAAAGAGGCCAGGAATAGACAAACTGCAGATGATGATGATGTGGTACTCACAGTTGATGCAGATGATTTTGATCATAGTGACAGCAAAGAATGGCACGGGGGCCATCTCCACCTTCACCAGCACCGCTGTGATGAGAAACACCACCAGAATGACAGACAGACTGCCTGAGATCCTCAACTTCTGAGGAATCCTGGGAGAAATGAGCGGCAGGAAATAACACAAGGTCAACTCTTCTGGGATACGGTTTCATGAGTGGTTATTAGGAAGATTCCTGGTAATCTCAAATGTTATTTAGTATCTCATCACTCTCTATAACAACAGATTTTCCACATTGTAGAATAACAGTCAAGTCAACAAAACTATGAAACAAGTGGAACACGGGGGTGTGTTAAGTCACGAGGGATGTTCTTCCTTCATTATTTGGTCCAACTCAATTTATAAAGAAATTCATCACATATCCTTAAAATCACAGAACAGAATTTCAATGAGTTTCAATGTCCGGTCAGGTCAATTTAGTTGTGTTCATTAAACCCATTATACATATTTTATCTTTTAAGTTAAATTGGTACGTTTGTAAATCCCTCTTACATGTAATTTCAGAGTTTGTCTCACCTCTGATGGATGAAGGAGTTGAGGCAAGTGAAAATGAGCAGCGGTACCATGGCGCACAGCGTCATCACATTGTTGAACTTTGACTCTAGGACGTTACGACCCTCCGTCCCATTGGCTGTCTGATTGTGTACTCCATTGATTTGTGGGTCCTTCAGACGTTGGGTGAAATACTGCAGAACAAGGAGAAGTCATATGTTGAGCGGTCCTCTATGTGAAAGTTATGTTACATTAAACATCATAAAGTCATTTGTAAATCAATCTTCAAATAAGTCATGTCAAAAGTCATAGTTTGAACCAAACAGTCGTTGCTAATGCGTAATGCAAGACCTAAAATACAGTAAAACTTCAGATGTTTTTTCTACTGATTCTACTATTTTACACTAAATAAACACAAGATTGACATTTAATCATTGTTAATGCAAATATAACAATATAGAGTAATGAAAAGATTTCTACTAAAGCATTTAAAGCTACTGTAGGAAACTTAAGGAGAACCTATAATGCCCTTTTCAAGACTTGATTTTGTTTTAAGGCTCTACTAGAAGAGGTTTTCATGCTTGAATGTAAAAAAAAAAACATTATTTTTCACATATTGTACATTGTTGCGGCTCCTCTTTTCCCAGTCTGTCAGTAACACTCTGTTTAGTTCCTGTCTCTATGAAGCTCCTCCTTACTTAAAGCTCAATTTGCTCTGATTGGTCGGCTGGATAAGTGTGTTGTGATTGGTCAACTGCTTCGAGCGTCTTTGGGAAATGTCACACATCTTACTATAACTGCAAGTTTCAACACACTACTAACCAACTCAACCAGATCCCGCCTCTTTATTTTGCGCATGAATTATTGAAATATTGAAATCTAAAAATGCATATAGATCCTCTTAAAATCTCCAAATACAAGATGCGTTAAAAACTATATTCACTGTTGGATCATTTTATATTGCCAAATGTGTAGGGCTGTCAAACGATTAATCACGATTAATCGCATCCAAAATAAAAGTTTGTGTTTACATAATATATGTGTGTGTACTGTGTATAATTATTTTGTATATAAATGCACACATGTATATATTTAAGAAAAATATGTTATTTATATATAAAATGTTTATATTTATATAAAATATACATTATATATAGGCTACATTCAGTCTATATACAGTATATACATGCAAATATTTCTTAAATACACATGCATGTGTGGGTATTTATATATTAAAAATAATTATACACAGTACACACACATATATTATGTAAACACAGAATTTTATTTTGGATGCGATTAATCGCGATTAATCATTTGACAGCCCTAAAAATGTGTACTCCAAATCCAGTATCTTTCACATAATCATGAATTCATCTAATAATGTGCCAATAAAGATTGTTATAAACGTCAGTCTCAATGCTCGTCATTAGAACTCAACGAGACGATTTTTACCATGGTAGCAGTCATGAAGAAATTCCATGGTAGGAGAGTTCCCAGCCCCAGGATGAAGAATATGATCCATACAGCATTGTACCTGGAAGACATGTCATTTTATCCACGTGCAATTTCACTATTGAGCCGTTGTCGTCCTGTGAGGAGGTTAACGCTCACACATTTACCTGTCTCGTGGGGCGTTCACGGCTGTCATGGTGTCTGTCTGACGGATCTGTCACTGGGCAGTTTCACAATCTGGCATCAAATCTGAAATTACAATCACATGGAAACAACCATCAACGAAGCTGAACCACATCATCACAGAAGATCTATCATTTCAAACCCAATACATCTAATCTTAGTGAAACATTCAGCTTGAGAAGCATGTTTATGCTGTCTTTCTTTAAAATCTTTTTTTTTTTTTTTTTTATCTCTTAGCTAATGTAATGATATTCAGACATTTTTAACTGCGACTCAATGTCCAAATTCTTTTTGAGGACACTGTAGAATTCAACAAGTCTGTGGGTTTTGGTATTTTTACTGTGTAAACATCCATCATTATTGCATTTCGTTCAAAACTATTTTTAGATTCTCTCAATGGATATTTTGGCAGCACCAACATAAACATATTAAAATATCAAAACAAATGTTAATATTTTCATTTCAGTGTCATTTTACATGTGCTTGCAATTAGCCTGCATCTCTTAAACCAATGTTTTTGAATAGATCGCATATTGTGCTTTATTAAGCCTTGGGTATAGAGTTTATAAAAATAACAAAAAATTAATTTCCTGAGCTCAAGCGACAGCTTGTCTGGATTTCAGACAAAATCTCCAGCTCTTAAGGAACGAATCACAACATCCTCTGCACTCAAGTCAAGAAATGGCCAAATATATTGGTTCATTCTGCAGTCCTTTGAGAATAAACATACAAAGTGAATGAGAAACTTATGAACTCCAGGACAAACATCCTCTCTTTCTAATACTGGGTTGTCCATTGATATTATTGATACTTGTGAACTAAAATTTTCAATGTAGTGCATAGTGCTTTTTACATTTAAGGCTTGGAAATGGATTACAGTGTTTCCCCTAGGATTTTGATTCGGGGGGGGGGGGGGGGGGGGGGAGGAGGACTGCTAGTGTTGCGGAGCGGGCGTGTTACGGATACGTGGTGTAATTTTTTTTTATTATTATTATTAATTGAAATCATGTATTATGAATCATTAAACTTATACAACATTTCTTTTTTTTAAATATATGAAAAAATTCACACTAATTCTGTGTTGTGTTTTTTCTGGTAATAAAATGAAGACATAAAACACAAATTTTATCATTTATCATCAATTTTAATCATATGAAATTAAATAAACTTTTTGTCAAATAACTTGCTGCACAATGAGCTTTAGCCTACTGTTAAAATTAAAACATGGATTATTCCTTAAAAATGTCTGTTTTGATGATAATTTATTTGGATTAGTGTTAGTGTATTATTACATTGGGACATATCTAAATTCTAATGTACAACAGTAATATATTTCTGTCAAGTTAAACCGAACTTTTATTTTGACGGGTTGCCGTGAAGACCTTTTGTTTGTGTTTTAATATTCACACACACTAGTCTACATCGCGATTTGATTTCAAGTGTACTGAACTGCTTTCTATTTTTTCCTAAAATTTACAAATTCCGTGAAATTCCGCGTTATACACAAATTCCTTTTTTATGACTGGTCGCCCCCCCCCCCCCCCAAAACAATGGTAGGGGAAACACTGGATTATGTTGCTCTTAAATGAGGAGCTTCAGAGGCAACCAAGCACTGCAAGATGTTTTGGATAAACTGTTTGAAAACTAAGATGATAATGGCAGACTGTGATATGCTGTTTATGGTGCTGACAACAATGAGCTTGAAAACATACTGATCCTGATGCATTATCCGTTTCCAAAAAAGTCTACTTTCAGCAGTGCAATAAAGCACAACTCTCTGTACACACATCCAAACAACTGTCAGGATATATAAAACAGTCCTCTTAGTTAAAAGATTTATTGGCTGTCAAAACTTGGTTTGCCTGCCATATTATCAATCATTTTTATGTGTTTTATTGTTTCTTTTGTGTTAAAAAAATTCCTCATGGAGAAAATTCATTTGAAAGAAATTTCAAAGTAGCATTTCATATTATGTTGTACCATTTCTTTAAAACAATGAGAAATAATGAAGGTTTTCATGCTCCACCGCTCTTGCAATATTCACTAAGAGAAGGTAAACAGTATTTTCCAAAGAAACTAAAACACACTTTTTTCCCCCTTCTATTCTCTTCTGGAAATGAAGAAAATTATTTCCCTTTTTTTTTTTTTTTAGAAAATCTGCACAGTAATTTAAATAATCAGACCATGGCAAACAGGTTATATACAACTATAAAAGCTGATTCTTCTCTTCTGTAACACATACTTACAAGTTCACCATTTTAAATAGCATTCCAGCTGTCTGTGATTTCAACACAACTCCATGTGCCTTTTCAATACATCATCATGACTGAACGGGCCTGTTGCACAAGACCTTTAAATCAGCCAGTTTACACAATTGATCTGATTTGGCCAAATTTTGTTAAAACCACTGGAAATCTCAGTCACGTTGAAGGAATCTGATTTTAGTCTGACTGACCTTACTCCTGTGATCACATGTCCTAAGTACTGTCACTATAGTCTAAAACAGAAACAATCATCTCTTATCAATACATCCGCTTTATTCTTTCATAAAACAACCATAAACATCTCACCACTTAAAGGAGAACTCCGGCGCAAAATGAACCTTTGGTCTAATAAAACATTGGTACCTAGTAGGGGTGGAACGGTACATGTATTCGTACCGAACCGAAACGGTACGGGCGTCACGGTTCGGTGCACGAATTTACACGGAGAATACACGGTATAAAAATAAATAAAACTCGCGTGAAAATTAATTAATGTAATGCGGAACTACTGTTAGATACGCGGGTTCTTTAGGGACACATAATCTGTACCATCGGCTTAGCTCTGAATGCGCGTTCACTTCAAACGTTGGCTTTATACGCGCGTCCTATTCGCTTTGGACTAGCGTCGAACTAGACGCGAATTTAACGCTCTATTCGCGTTTGGTGTGACCGCATAATGAACAGGCTGCGATGTCAAGATTGCAATGCTGGAGTGTGTGTGTTTGTGTGTGTGTGTGTGAGAGAGAGGCGCGGCCGCGATCGAACAGTGGAAACATAAAAAACATAGCTACTCCGTCATTTTGTTCATACAGATCATTAAACCTGCAAAGTGTTTACTTAAATTTGTGTACACTCGCAATAAAACACAACATTGTGCTTTTGTCACACTGTAAACTCTTGTCAAACTGTAACCTACAACTGTCACACAACCAAAATCTCTCTCTCTCTCTCACACACACACACACACACACTGTTTTAAAAGCAAAACATATTTATCCAACTCCATTTCAAAACAGTCTGTGGGTCCCATCTTTTGGACATTCATCGCATTGGTTTTCATTTCTCGTCCTCGGAGCGCTAATCTTACACATTCTACATTGATTAAAAAAGAAAATCGAATGCGTTTTTAATGGTAGTATTATTTTATACAGAAATCAATTATTTATAATTCAGATGAGAATAATGTTACATTGTTAATTAATAATGTTAATTAAAATTAAGGAAAACAAATATATTTATCTGAAATATAGCAAATTAATTTTAAATTAATTCAGGTACAATTACCAAACATATCGCAAGGTCTTTTTGTCTTTTTATTAATTTAATTAATAAACGAATTATATAAAACTATTGTCAGTGCACTACAAATAAACTGGTTCTATGCCTTTATTAATAAAACTTATTTAAAAAATAGAATGCCTTCTGCATTTTTGTTTTGCTTTTCCCTCCATTGTACCGAAATCGCACCGAACCGTGATGTCTGAACCGAGGTATGAACCGAACCGTGACTTCTGTGTACCGTTCCACCCCTAGTACCTAGTCAACCGTTCTCTGAGATTTGTTTTCATGATAATCGAATGTAAAGAGTTTTATCTCTAAAAACTGTTTAGCGTATAACGCTAGTAATGGGGGCATATAATAAGTAAAAAGAAATCGCTAGTTTATACCACTAACAAGACTCAAAATAGCCCCACACTAACACAGTAACATAATGAGGGTCCCTACATGCAAAACAAAGCATTGAGAACTTTGTAAGTGTACAGACCGTTTAATAAGAAGATAAAGATAAAGACAGTCCACTTCGTGTATACAGACAGGAGCCATCTTTGGAAAACAGTCTCGACTAATCAAACCATGAACGACGTGCTAAGTGAGCTGAACTGTATGAAGTTCAGTGAACTTCTGAACTGTATGAATGGCGTTCGTGGTTTGATTAGTCGGAAAAATGACAAATGTTTGAATGTTCTACCTCAGATTTGTGAAATGTTCACCTGTTTGGCAAGTGTTTGTCATGATATGTTCTGACAATAAGACTGAGTAATTTAAAACCACAATTAACGCTCTGGTTTATACAACTTTCACTTAGTAGCAAAAATGCCTTCAAACTTGAAAGAAATAAAGATTTGACATTTAATTATCATTAATTATCGATATCGACTGATATAAAAAAAATTATCGTGATACATTTTTTTGGCCATATCGCCCAGCCCTAAATTTAGTTGAAGCAATATATGCCATGGTTGGTTGATAATGGCTGAAACCAAATGAAGCATTTCCACCTTGACCGGACTTATCTGCCCTAAGGTTGGCAGGCATGAGAGACTCTGTGGAACTCCAGGAATGGACAGATTACCACTGTATACACTGACATGCCAACAATACATGATGTGATAACACTAGTCTCAGAACTACATCCATATAAACCTGGTTATTGATGAAGTGCACTAAACAAAAAATGTCATTAAGTGTTTTGCAAGCTTGCATATATTAAAAATGATTGTACATATTTATGTGGTGCACACTACCATTTAGAAGTTTGGGGTTTCCAGAAGATTTTTTTTATCTTATGCTCACCAAAGCTGCATTTATTTGATGGAAAAATACAGTAAAAACAGTAATATTGTTCAATATTTTTACTATTTAAAATTTTAAACTTAAAAACTGTTTTCTATGTTAATATATTTTAAAATGTGATACAAAGCTGAATTTTCTGCATCATTACTCCAGTCTTCAGTGTAACATGATCCTTCAGAAATCATTCTAATATGATGATTTGCTGCTCAAGAAACATTTCTGATTATT